ATTTAGAGAATGATTTGAATAGTAGATCCCTTTACTGTATAAACTACACTTAGAACAGGTCGATATTGAAAGCTGGTATGTATGCGGACTATAAAACCTTTTCCTAAATGGATTATGTTAATAAAATAGATTACTGTCTCAAAAAATGAATATGTAAACAATTGCACATCAATAAATGTTCCTGGAACATGCAACTTTTCAGCCATCTGTAAACAGAAAGAGTGAGAGATGATAAGCAAGTGTATTTCACTTTACACATAATCTGCCATAATTCCAATGTAGCATATTCACATGTAGTTTCCCTTTACCAGCACTCTTCTAACCAAAGCTACGAGAAACCATTTCTCATCATCTGTCAAAATCATGCCGTCTATGATACAGTGAGCTGTTGTTGAATGACTAACACAACGAGCTGCAACTTTGAGATTTCATTTAACTAACGTTATAACTACAACCAGAGATGTTATAGCTCTGACAGCATTTCACATCTACAACGTCACACAAAGAGGAGCTACAGCAAGCCGTGTTAGATTCTTGTTCAGCTCACGTTTATTTACATGTCCGCTCTGGTTTAATCATTTCAGACATGCCGACTAACTGCAGACAGTCGGCTCGCAGATATATTTAGAATACACCAGAAACTATAGTTTAACGGCTTATTATGATGTTAGCGCTCCTCCACTGATAAACACGGCATTAGCTTTGTGGCTAATTTAGCAACGGGTGGCTGAGACGGCTGCTTTAACGTTACGTGATTTTATAGATTATTTAGAAGTGATGAACTAGGGACAAATTGGAACCAAAGTGGACCGTTCACTAACTGCCACACTGTTTCATAATAAATCTACAGTTATGTCTGTCAGCTAGCTTCCAACACCCAGCTAGCCCTCTGGTGGGCAAACTATGCAACACCCATGACATGAGCGAAGGATCTGACTTTTTGTTTGTTTTTTAATTGTCACATATCAGCCGTTATAAACGGTCAATGCCAATTAAATGCAATTGGCCGATATCAGCCGGCCGATAAATCGGTCGTACTCTAGACTCGACATGCACATCCAGCCAATGAGAGCAGGCAGCTTGCAGAGCAGGCTGCTACTTTTTCACTGCAAAAAACTTTTTACTCACCTCCAGCTCTCTCTGTAGCACAGACGATCCCTGCTACTTGCGTGTGCTAATCCATTCTTTCACCCATATTCTTTGTCTTTGTTATTCTAAAGATAGCAATTATAAACAGCTATTTCGTGTGTATTGTCGCGTCATTTCCCGTTTCACATTTCATGTATTTTCTTGACAAAACGTGGTTTGAAGACTAGACATCGGGTGACACAGCCACTGTCAGCTCGTGTAGTGTGTCACCCCCTGTCACCGATCAGTCACGTAGTGTGAACGCCACAACCACTTCAAGACTCTCATCACAAGATGTCAAGTTGTGTAGTCTCAACAGCATGGCGATCGGCCAACACTGAAGGCTGTGGTCTGCATGCACCTTTAAACACGTGCTTTGGGGAACAGCATTTACATAATAACTAAAATGTAGTTTATAAACCTGAGCAGAGCACAGGGCTATTGGCTAGTTCATTATGCAGAGGGGTTATCTGTGTACTTTGGTGTTTAATGCGACTCAAGTCTCATAACTGCTATATGCCTGACGACTCGAGCAGTACTGAAGGTATATTAAACTCTTGACCTACTCTAGCCATAAAGAAAAAAATTCCAGAATTGGAGTTCTACTTACCCTTGAAATTCCAGGTGGTTCATGATCCAACTCTTTCCACTTAAGTGTTTATATTTTTCTGAATAAATGGAGAGAAAGAATTGTCACCCCAGATGAGAAGTATATCAGATTATGAATTTTGCACACTGTTACAACCCTCCCAGAGGGTGGGTGTGTGTGTGGGTGGGTGGGTGGGTGTGTATGTGGGTGATTCACACCTTGGATATGTAACTGCAATGTATTGCTCTTTCCATGGTTTATAGCAGTCTATCACTGCATATTATTCAGTGAAGAAGAGGTGTGTTATAAAATAAAAGTGCATGTCTCTCGTTCTCTCATGCTTTCTGCTTCTGCTCATTATCCAGACTCAGGCTGGACCTGCTCCAAGGTCAGAGTTATGAGGCAATGGCCCAGATTTTAATTTTGCCAGGGCCCCTCCTTTTCTTATCCTCTGTCAGCACTTTCACAAGTCCCCCCGCTGGCTCAAATTACAAGATTAGAAGGAAAATGTCGTGTTCTCGTGGTTGCATAGAAAGCCAGAGAGTGACTGGCTGGATTAATTTAGATTTCCAAGGTAAATTTTTCTAAACCACTATTTTTCCAGGGACAGATGGCTGAGTGTGCCTGAGCTTTTCCAGGCCATCCTGCCTCCGATTCACATCTGAGAGCTGCCCGCTCTGTCCTGTTGTTTGCTCCTGAGCAGCTACACCTGTGCAAGTGCTTTTAAGGAAAAAGCGACAGGCATTGTTGAGAGACTGAAGAATAGAGTATTACTAGATCTGCTTAGCTAGCATATCTGTATTTAGAAATTTTAATTACAGAATAATTGGAAGACCCATGCTTCAATTTCTCAGTCAAAGCTTTTATTTGATTGATAAATGAAGGTATTATGGTAGTGGCTTTTTTGTGAGCATATCAGTGTAATTGCGCTATCCCCTCATGGTTTTTCGTAAGATTGCACCCTGTTCATCCAGGGAAGCCTGATCCGGGACATGCTGCTCTTCGAATGCTTTGGCCCTTCGTAGGGATGCACCGAAATGAAAATTCTTGGCTGAAGCATTTTTTCCATTTATTTTGCCTTTTTTTTACCATCGCATTAATTAAATATCAAAATGTGCTCCTTACTCAGTGTTTCCCACAGGATTTGGAGAGACTATGGTGGGTGGGTCCGAGGCCTCAGAGAGTCCGGTAAAGTAAATCACGTGTTCATTTACTTTTAATGGACACACGTTTTATACTTTCTGTGGATATAATCCAATTAATCTTGTTTCCATACTGTATAGACACCTTATTTTGAAAACCAGAATCTGTCACATAAATTCATCAAGTACGACCCAATTTGATAAATAATGTTGTATGTGGTTCTCGTATCGCGAAACATTACGACTTTACAGCCTCTCTTCAGGTAGGACTCTCATACTGCAACACGTATCTTTGTAAAGAGAGAAAATAACCAGATAAAGTCGCAAACCTGCCTCTCAGCTAGCACTGGTCTGTTTCAGTTACCTTAAAGGCTTGAATACGTGTGCACTCCCAAATTTAGAATAGACACACTAGAACAGGCCGATATTGAAAGCTGTTCTGTATGTAGGCTATAATACCTTTTCCTAAATGGATTATATTAATAAAATAGATTACAGTTTCACCAACTTCACCTGTAAACAATTGCACATCAATAAATATTTGCTGCAGGAAGGTGCAACTGTAAATAGATGGCTGAAAGATTCAATGTAGCATATTCACATCTAGTTTATCCCTGTACTAACACTCTTTAATAATAATCCAAAGCTACGAGAAACTGTTTGTCAACCGCCATCTGGCTCTAAAACATGCCGTCTATGATAATGTTACAGTGACCTGCTGTTGAATGCATCTAATACTAAATGACTGTCTACAACGAGGACTTGCAACATTGAGATTTCATTTAACTATAAAGCACTGGATATACTTGCTTTTAACTACACGTTTGCGTACGCAAGATGGCTCCCACGCGTATCTTGCGTTCCTTTGGAGGGTAGGTTGTGCACATCCAGGAATGAATGCTCATCTCCTTACAGCACACATACAGCTCACATCCCCCACTTACAAGGCTGTCCTTTCATCACTTCCCAGGAAACTCAACAAACGTAACCTATTGGCCTCAGGTGAAGATACCAACGATGGTCGTTCAGTCTTGACCTCTGGTAGTCCTAACGACCATAACGACTGTCGTTACAGCAACCAGGAACACTAACGAACCAGCGGTATCGATGACCCTGGCAAACAACCCCACTGAGGTTAAATAGCTAAGTTTCTCTGCCAGTCAGTCAGAACTGAAGAAGTCCTTTGGATGAGGGACGAAACGTCTTCCAGTATCTTCAACCAAGTCCAGTTGCCCTTGACTTTAACCTTTGTTGGATTACCATATTAAGTAGTTCAGTCATACATGTTTTCTTTTGTAATGTGATATAGTGAGTTCACACTTTTCTGTGCGTGGATGAGGTTCTTGAGCTGCTTCTTCCCCTGTCGTGGCATTCTCATACTCGTAGGCTGTTGATCATGTGGAGAACCAAGCTGTGCTTTTTCATGTTTTGAAGGGCAGAATGCCAGACCTGACCCCAGGCCTGTGGCATTACCCAAAATGGCAGCTCTCAGTTTGACTGCCTCTTATGGTGTGTGTTTCTGCACGTGCTTGTGTTAGTAGTGTAGAAGTGTATATTATCATGTCTAATACTTGTAGTTTTCAGACACTTGAAAAATATGAATGTGTTGGTGAAATTGAATTGTTACATTTAACTTTCAGTTCTCTCTATATTTAAAAAAGCAAGATCTTGATATAAGATGCAACAATCGGGCAAATGTTTGTACCATAATCATGGAGCATGATCACATGAAAATGGTAGAGTAATTAAGCTATAACGTTTGTGGTAACTGTTGTTCTAATGCTTTTTATGTGTGTGCCTTTTTTTTTGCTTTCCTTCTACTTAAGGTTGAAATAGAGTATTATCATGTGGAATATTAAATGCTTTCACTTGTGAGGGAAGTGTAATATAGCGTGGCTTTATCTTCATTAGTCTGTATACAGGACAGATGGTAAATGGGGAAAATGGTAATAATGCGACAAAGATGGTAAACCAAATGGGCACAGAGGGAGTTTATGTCCTTTACATAAGGATTCCCCTGCAGTGTATCTTTTATCTTCTTGTCAACATCTAGCATATGAATGCCTTTCAATGTTAGTGAAGTTGATCTTACTGAGTCATTGTTACACTTGATTTCAATTGCTTTTTTTCTTTCCCCACAGAGCCACCATAGAGGAAGTGGAGGGGGATGTGTGTGAATTGGAATCCAAGCTCGACAAAGTGAGTACCACCCTTGAAAAACATTGCTTAATTGTTCAGTTGTTCTACTGTGTGAACTAGCAAGCTACAGAGGCCATCCTGTTAAGTGGAAAGTTGCAGGTTTGTCTCTGGCCCCAGTATATCCCCTGGCAGATTGCCTTTGAGTAAGACTAATATAGACACCATGCTTGCACTAAAACATGTGGGGGTGTTTCAAAAGTGCATGACACCCTTTACACTGTACTATAATTGGACAATTTACTTCTACAATTCCTAAAAATAATGGCTGACCCCAGTGTTTCAGATGCTCCAGTGATTCTATTTGTTGCCAACACAGTGGGAAATTAAAACCAACTGCCAGCCAAATGGCGGCAAATAGCCTGTAATCATCTTTTATTCTAACAATCACATTATTTTAAATCAAAATCATAAAAAGGTGGCCTTTTTTGGGGGGGGGGGGGGTATAAAAAAGATTTAGTTTGCAGGTAGTATTATAGTAATATCAGGAACATGAACTGTTATGCTGTCTTTATGAGTGGTGAAAAACAAAGCAATTTTAATTGACTTTAGCCTGGCTTGTAGCTGTTAACTAACTAGCTAACAGTCTGGACCAACTCTGCTGTGAAGAGTAGAAGACGACACAGTAAGCAGTGGCAAACACAACACACAGCCTTTTAGAAACTATTATACTGCAATCTGAGTTTATCTACGTACTTTATCTCTTTCTAAAGTAACATAACTACCCCTCACATACTGGGAAAGAGTCCCTTACACAAACAAACCCGCTGGACTTCGTCAGACACACAGGTTAGCCACAAAGCCACCTTCCTGAAAGAGGGAGCCTCGGCCGGTAACACACAGATGCAGTTAGGCTGTGGGTGTATTAAGGTCCATTACTTAAGCAAAAGTACTAATACCAGCTCCAATTTGAAAATATTCCACTACAAGTAAAGGTTGTGTATTCTGAACTGTACTAAGGTAAAAGTATACAAGATTGATGGCAAGATTTGCTTGTGCAGTAAAATGGTCCCTGACACCGTTTTACATGTATGTAAAACATCATGAGATGTTTTATAAACATCATATGATGTTAATGGATTAATATTACTCCTGCATTAATGTGTATGTTGCAGTTTACTGCTGTGGGTGTTTATGGTTGAGCTAAGCCTGGGCACAATAATGATAATTATCGCAATATAATTTTCCTCAATAACAATATAACAAATGTTCAATAAATGTTTGATTTAATTCATTTGAATCACAAACTAGTTAGCACTTAATTTTTCTATTAAGATATATTTTGTTGAGGAAAAGGGGCTGAGAAAAGATTTTATCCTAATTGTATTGAATGTTCTGCCTCAGATTTGTTTCGTGATTAACTGTTTGGCATGAAGTGTGACCATAAAGAATAGCTTAAAACCATCTAAAGACATAATGATTGGACATTTATCGTGATAATTATCGATATCGTGATGACCATAGGCGGAGGTAGTGTGGGTGCATGGGGGCGGCCGACCCAGGGCCCCGGCTTGTTGGGGGCCCCCTAAGTGGACCATGAAGTTAGTTCAGTTAATTGTTATGGACACAAACAAACAGCGTTATATGTCGCTGCCCTGCACTGGGAGAATCATCTTATCAAATGAAACCGTACCTTCACTCGTGGTTTCAATGGTAAACCACCATAAGAATTACCAACCAAGAATTTGGACAACTACCAAAAAAACCACACTAGATTCTAAGGAGACACGTTTTAATAAACATAAATCGTAAATTATCATTTGTATTTCAAACAAATGGCAAACTTATTATCACATTTTAACAAAACTCCGTTCACCCTCAAGCATCATGGGAATTCTGAGGGAGGGACGTGTGTGACTTGTTTTTAATTGTCCTTTTTGTGCTCCTACTACATTCTTCAAAGCTCTCTGGCTCGCTTTCGTTCCTCGTATTGACCGGTGCATCTAGCAACTACCACAGGGAGCATTTCAGAATAAGAGCGTTTTACCTGCCGGATTTTGCCGACATGTTTAGATTTTGTTGATTTGGTGATTAGTGCTTGCTTTTTGTGCTTCTACTATGATTAAGAAGGCTACGTAGTAAAATTCTTTAATTTTTTTGTCTAATTTAACAGTGTTTATTGTTGATATACAATCGGAAGTCTGTAACGGGTATTTTATTTTGAAGATTAACCGAATTCTCTGCCGTTTCTGTTGTCTGACTTCCTGCCCGGTTCATCTGCGCTGTGCTGCTTGACGCTGTGACGCTTCTTCGCACTGCAGTGCTTCTGGTGTAAGCACAAATATTTAGTAGAATGGCTGCTCCGGCAGCAGAGAAGCAGACAGACTATGTTGACTTTTGGAGTGAGTATAGGGTCATGTAAACTTGGTTAATATGACTGTAGCAGGTGGGCCCACAATGAAGCTTCGCCCCCACTGCGCTGAGAGTCTAGCTCCGCCCCCAGTGAGAACATTTCTGTCCATATCGCCCAGCCCTAGTTTGTGCTAATTTTAACTACTTTATACATTATTGAGTAGTTGTAATCTACAGCAATGCATCATCTTCTAAAAGATCATCATGTTTGCACTATGTGAGAATGCACGGAATGTTATTTTAGACAAAATGTGGATATCGAGGTGTCGCCTAAAAATATTTCTTATAGGCCATATCACCCAGCCCTAGACTAAACTAATAAACCACCCAAACAAGCTAGTTTTAATCAGTAGTTCTGCCTGAGAACAAACCAAACCCAGAGCTCAGAGTATGTTCACTAGCGAGCTTGGAAGATCCCAGTTCATTGTTCCTGGACTTACAGTCTTACAGAGTCCCACCCTCCTCCCCCTTACCCCACCTCTGTGACTCAGCCCCGGCCCCACTTCCCCTCTTGCTCTGCAGAGGAAGGATCTGCTGGAGAGTGGGTGTGTTCGTGTGCGTGAATATGGCTGTGATTGGGTGCATGTGTATCTGAGTGTGTACTTGTTGATGGGTGGAGTCGATAAACAAGGGGCTAAAGAGATCTTTTTCTTGGGGCTTCCTATCTGCCTGGGATGTAAACAGCCATGTTGTCAAAAGTGAACACACTTTTAACCGTGCCATTTTTTAAACCTGCTCTGCATGAGCTATAGCAAACTATAAATACACGTGCCAGTTTATTAGGTACACCTAGCTAAATTTATGCAGTCTAATACAACGGTCTTGCAACAAAACCTACCTTCCTGAAGGTTTTAATGTTCAGTTTTTAGACATGTGATGCAGTTGTGGAGATGTTGATCTGTATTGCATTATACTGGGAGTTGTTTCTGTCATTTAGCCCTCATGGATATAAATGCTGAGAAGAGCATAGCCACATTGAAGAAAGGCAGGGGTAATTGAGTAAATAAATACTTAGTTAATTCAATTAAGATTGTCTTCCAACCACCATGGACTTAATCCAAAAATATTATATTTTTTTTACTGTATATGACAGTTTGTTATCACAGGTGAGACAGAAAAAACAAAATAGCTTATTCAAAAGAGATCACAGAGGAAGTATAGACTATAATGGTGGTTAGTGTGCATGTGTGACAAATACAAGCACCTAATGGGTCTATTTTAAAGTTACCTTTTACCTTCTGACCTTTGCAGCTTAGACAGTTACATGTTTGGAGCTAAATTAATTTGGTTTTAAAATATGAAAGTTCAATACATTGTGTGTAGAGTAGTTTAATATATGACTTTTGTTATTGTATTATTTAACTGTTGATCACTTACTAATCTGTTTAGGAAATATCTTAAAATTAGCATTTTTAGGTGATATATTTAGCTGTTTTGCCTGCAGAGGCACATTCAGGCTGTGTGTCATCTTCTGCGTGGGACTGGATGGAAAATGGCCAGCGTTTGTTGTGAGTTTACATAACCTGGAATTATCTTTGCTCCCAAATGAGTCAGAAGGGGAAGAACTGCCTCTTGTTAATTAAGCATATTGCTTTTCTGTTTTATCCTCTGTAGCACCAAGTTTTACCAAATCTTCCGAATCATTTTCAGCAGCAAACTTCAAGTGTTTTTAATAAGAGAGGATGCCCTGAAGAAATGACCGGCACTATTTCTTGTTTCTCTTCGCTCTAGTGTTATTATCTTCTGTCTGCTTAAATTATTTCCCCAATAACCATTTGCCTCTTTCTCTTTCTAGTTGGTGAAGTTGTGTATTGGGATGATTGATGCTGGAAAAGCCTACAACGCAGCCAACAAGCAGTTTGTTAATGGAATCCGGGAGCTAGCCCAGCAGTCCACCAAAGATGAGGTCATCGAGGTAAACAAAAACACAACCTGGCTTGATCTGAGTCATAGAAAGTCCCCAGCATTTGAACTATTAGAATGTGTTTTTGTTTTTTTTCATGTATGGGGGCAGGCTTCCTTTTGGATCTTTTTTAAAATTGTGAAATATTTAACATCAAATAAAGTTGTTAGCTAATAGTATTTATAATATACTATAAACACACATTAACTTCTTGTCTTTTTTGAGTGAAGTGTTTTCATCCTTAATGACATTACCAGATTAAATCTTAATTTTAAAAAAACAAGGCCTTGTACCTAGACCTTGTAGTGTCCGCTGGGTCTTGCCGAGGTCACATGCTTAGTTTTGTTTTGTTTTGTCTTCTCATATGAATTTTGCATGGAGAGGCAAGCACTTCCTGCCAGCCTTTGTGTATTCCACTCAGTGCCTTTCCCTTGGGTTTGAAGCCACTGCATGTATTTGGAGGGAGTAACGCCAAAAGAATTCTTTACCAAAGTGCTATTGTGTCTCCAGAAACACAGACACCGTTTCTGTATAGCCATATCTGTCTGACTGAAGAGTTTTGTGTCTTTCCAGACATGTCTGTGATGTAGCATATAATTGAAATTTGGATTTTGTTTTTATTGTTGTAAGAATGGCGACATTCTTTCTCTGCCTGCCTTCATGGCTGTCGTTCTTTTGTCTTAACAGTCCAGTCTCACAAAGTTTGCTGAGAGTCTGCAGGAGATGATCAACTATCACACGGTATGTATCACTGCCATGTGAAACCGGATGTATTGTGATTCTTTTGGGGTTTTTTTTTTTTTTTCCTTTACAGCTGGGAGATGATAAAATTCAGCTGGGCTGAGAGTCTGAACCCACTCTTTAACTGTCAGAGTTCTTATTTACTGCTGGGAAGGACAGCAGCAGACCACAAGACAGAGGAAATGGGTCTGTAAGAGGATGGCCACTGGTTTGAAAAATGGAAGCGGAGTGTCAGGGTTCCCTATAGCAAGACCTTAACCTTAACTAACTGTTTAACTGGGGCTATTCAGAAGTAGAAGGATGTGGCTATAATAAGTAGTGTCCAGGTGGGATTTCATATTACTGTAAATATGTGAAGCAGGGTGTTGCTGCAAACACTGCCCTTCATAAAAATTGAGTATATAGAAATCCTTTGGGTCAGATGCATCAAAAACAATCATTGCTTAAACGTAGCTTTTGGATTTTCTTGTCACAAAACCCTCCTCACAAAAGTTACATCTGCCCCATAGTATTGACAGAGGATTTTCCTGCCTCATAAAATCTATTCCCTGCTTAGCATGTAGTGGAGTGTTTAACTGTTGGAATAAATCATCCGTTACTGAAGTAAACGTGGTCATGGCCAACGTTTTACGATGTGGTTGTCATCCTGGAGACAGCTGAACTACAAGAAGAACCATTCTAGGCTTCAGTCAGACTAAGATAGGTATTGTGTTGGCCTTACAGCTTGGTCATCTAATGCACTTCACTTCCAACCACTAGATCTCAGACAATAAATAAACATGTCGCCTTATCCATTGTTGTATCCTATCTAGTCCCCCACAAAACTCTCCAAGGAGCCCATTAGGCTAGATCTGATTATGTGGCTGTTCTTACCCAGTGTCCTCTTGTTAGCCTTCTCCGTTGTCAGTCTCTAGTAGGACTGACACTAACATTGAGAAATGGAGACGTGCCTTTCTCTGATTAGCTTCTCATTAGGAATCCCTCAAACACAGAAAGGATGCACAGGGTGAGCTAGAGGCTTTTTTACAGTGGAAGTTCTCTTCTTGATCTCCCATGTCATGTCTTGTTTCTGTTGGCTTTGCGTAACGTGTTCAGAGTGAGTTACAAGCCAACACCACGCTGCCTCTGAGACATGTTAGAACAAACCGGGGGTGCTGCTACTGGAAATTTAAGATTTTGTAATGTTTGTGGTTGTGGATGAATTTAACAGTTGTAACAAATAACATTATTGAAGTGTCCCAGAATGCGCAACACTGGTTAATATTACAGTTATTATTATTATTAATTACACTTGTGTTTTGTCTGCTTTGATATGTTAAAAAGACCTAACCACCAATACCACTGTTAGGAAAGCAAGAGAATGGTATTTTTTATTTTATTTTAGATTTATTTAATTCAGTTCAGCGTGTTTTATTGGCTTGAATGTTTTATTTAAACAACATTGCCAAAGCAGTTTGCAACCAAATCCAAAAAGTTTACATTTAAATATGACACAACAAGATTAACCCAATCAAGAACGTTCAATTTAGCAGTTACAAATTACAAAAACAAAACATTGGACAAACAAAGCAATTTGCAACTTTTTAAAATCGTTTTATTTATTTTTTTAAGTTTCTGACAATTTATAGAACAAACAATTCATTGATGAATTTAAAAAAAAACCCATTAAATTGTAGTATCGTAATTATCTATGGTGATATTACAGCTGAAGGTAGCATTAAACCTTTTCTTTGGGGTGAAGTGAAAAATCAGTACTTTTAAATGAGGACTGAATCTCGTTTCTGTTTACAATCATAACATGCGTTTCATTTCAGTATGAGGTTTTGGCTAGTTTTGTTCACGTTTGGTTGAACTGGGTTCTGTAGCCTTTACACTCACAGATTAAGAGAGATCCTGTAAATGTGTTCTAAACTATTATCCCAAAAAGCTGCAGGGTGGGCGTCTACCATCATTCAGCAGTGGAGTCCTCTTAATAGGTTCCTTGACTACACCCCTAAAAAGCCTCCAGGAACCACAGTGCAGCCCTGCGACTGTGACTCAACATCACCGACTGTGGTCACGTCAGCTGACTGTCAGATAGGTTTTTGCCACTCAGCGATCTCTGAGCACATGATCCACTCAAACACAGTGCTCAATCTGTTCGTCACTGGTAGCCTCTCCCAGCCACACTGCTCAGATTGTCTGATCTGGCCATGAAATCACACTGAAGCCCGGTTTAGTGAATGTGTTTGTCTGGCCTTTTCCTTGGTAGCTCATTTTAAGGAAGCAAGCAGGTTAATAAGGGTATGAGTCACTACCAAGAATAAGCAAATCACGTCACTTCTCGTGTTTGTCTTTATGAGGGGAGTTTACAAAGTGAGCTTGTTTGTGTAAATGTAGCTGCTTAATTGCACCCTGTGATGTTAACAAAAATCCTCCTAAACAGAGGTGCTGAATGCTGACTTGCAAAACATCCCGTGGCCTAGAAAGTGAAAACATTTACTGTCTTTTTGCTGTTCCCGTAGAGAAGTGACTTAGAGATGTTTAATTTAACTAGAGATAAGATGTTTTTCCAAACAGAAATGAGAATTTAGTCTTTCTTTCTTTCTTCACAGATATTATTTGATCAGGCCCAGAGATCTATCAAGACCCAGCTTCAAACATTTGTCAAAGAGTGAGTATTAATTGAACCAAGACGGATAAAAATGGTCATATCTCTGAGCAATCTGAGCTTCTAAAGAATGGCCTAAATTTGCTTTTTGTGTCTCTGTGAGAACAAGCCACAGCACATGTACATTTTACTCATGCTTGTATCCAGATCAACTTAAAATGAGGAACACACATCTCTGAGGGGAACTTAATAAACTTGTACTTTGTGTTGAAAGAAAAGTGTCTTGGATTTTGTAAACAAAGCCCACACTTGAAAGAGGACACTCAATTATATTGATGTGTGTATATATAATATTTTCTAATTGAATCAAGCCCTCATATCTCCCTTTTTAAAGCCTCCTAATACAGCACTGAATTCCAGACGGCTTGTGTAAGTGCAGGAAACAGTGGGGCCTTCTGGTTTATTCATTATAAGGATTAGCAGCTTTTGCCCCTGGCATACCAGGGCTAAACTCCCACATTGGCAACCCCCATACTTCTCACATGTTCCATCATATTTACTCACTACCTTGTAGCACTCAAATATTAACCTCACTTACTGTAGGCAAAATACACCGAAGAACAAGTGCCAAGATTTATTAAATCAACTTTAACCTTTGTGTGTTCCTGTTGACTGACCATGGTTGTGTTGCTTCATATCCAGCGATAACTTTGCTTCCTTCCACATGATTGTTGACAATAAAGGGACATGTCTTATTTGACCTTGGTCATGGAGTTTGGAAGCTTTAGCACTGAATTGTGGGATAATTCTACTGCTTTATTGGTGGCACCATCTAAGGGTATTTTTTCGACCAGCTAATATAACAAGACACATTTTTAGTGCTTACATTGGTGATCAACAGCAAAAGACTGAAAAGGCTAATTTGTAAAGCCTCTATTCTCAGATCCTAATGAATAAATTAGTAAACTTTTCCTAAACTTGATTTCCCCATTTACACTCCCACATACTAATTAATGCTTGTACAATAATTTAATGTGTTTTGTCTTAGTAAACTTCTCTCCCCTCCCTTCCTTTGTCAGTGACATCCGTAAGTTCAAAGAAGCGAAGAAGCAATTTGACAAAGTGAGTGAAGAAAAGGAGGCGGCACTGATCAAGAACGCCCAGGCTCCCCGCAACAAGCAACATGAGGTGGAGGAGGCCACAAACATCCTAACAGCCACGCGCAAGTGCTTCCGACACATCGTCCTCGACTACGTCTTACAGGTACAACAACTCACTTAGGGATGTAAATTGTAAGACCCTTAATGTGTTGCACAGAATCATTGGAGTACTTACAAATTTGAAGTAACGGTTCCATGACAGTGTGTGTGGTTTTTTGTTGGTTTTTTTTTTTTCATTCTTGCGCTTAAAGCTGTGTCCTTATTATTACATTAGATGCTGTAATCGTTAGACTCCTTTAAAGCTGAGTCTCGTTTTAGTCCACATTTTGCAGTGCATTTAACAATACATTAGTTCCCTGAATTGACAGTTTCCAACAGGACTATATATGGCAATAGACTGCTGACATGCAAATTTTAAAAGAGAAGCCAAAAAAAGAGCTCAGATACACACTGTCATGTACGATATTTCCTTGTGCACCCTAGCCGCTTTGGAAATGGAACTTAATATGGTGAGTCAGGTTGAAAATGCTGATGTGGCACAGAGAAGAATGAACAGCAGCTGTGTTTGATTCTGTTACATCCAAAGTAAAAAACCCAAGCATATCCACCTGTCATGTTTCAGTTTACCACATCAGAGTGGATTTGACTGAAAAAGAGTAGCAGATGCATCAACAGGACACAGGGAGCAGCGGTCGAATTAGTTGTAGCGTTGGCAACAGGACTAGCAGAAGAAGAAGATAATAAGAATCAGATCAGGTTTATTTATAAAGCACATTAAAAAAAACCCAAGGTGCTATACAATAAAATAAGATAACATAATATTGTAACCAATGTAACTATCTAATACTATCCCATATACAAATAAATTCTTAATGAAAAAGATGGGAAAACTTAAAATCACAGAGGAGTAAAAGCGAAACATAAAGAAGCCAGTAGTAGATTTTGATTTGACGTGATAGTACATGGTGGCATACCACATCTATATGCACTTGCATAGATGTATTAATAAACTGTTAGATTGTTGATTGTTCTAGTAAAGGGTTTTTTCCCCCTCACCTGGTGCACACAGCATATTAAAATACACAATCAGATACAATGCTTCTGTCCTCTTATGTTTATAATTAAATCTAATTACCAGTTCATTATCATTTTCATATTTGGCTGATGTCAGGCATCTGTGTTTTTTCCTGCGTTCATTTTACAAGTTATGGTTAATAACAAAATTATTGCGCAATGTTCCAGTGACCAATGAGCCATCATGTCCGATGAAGCACTGCAATGGAGAAATTATTCATATTTTTAGGTAAGATCATTTGAGAACAAACAGAAGAGGAAGAAAGCAGCAGGAGGAGAAAGCACACAAGAAAACTATGGATTTTTATTTTTTTATTTATTGTTAAAATCTGCCTCTCTGTTTGAACAGTACTTGAAGAATGTGACACCATTATATCCAGCATTTGAAGAAAAAGTCCTAGTATTAAAATGAGTCAGTCAGTTTACAATTTCATTAATGAAATGACACTCTGTTGCCTTTCAGAAGTTGAATCATCTGTGCAGTAGGAGATCAAGCACCGCGTATCTCCTTTTGTGCAAACATGTTCTTTTTCGTACTTAAACGTGTCAATCTGTTTAACCTTTTTTCTGTCAAAGCCACACAGATGTCTTGTACTTTGACCTTTCATTTTAAAAGCTGCTCATGTATCATTGAATAAGTCAGCTGAGCCCTTGGTGTTTTCTCTTGGCCACAGTAACACTGATGAATGCTTCATGTTTTCTGATAAGGCAGCTGCCCGCCCTGTTATTGAATCTCACTCCAAAAGAACTGACAGTGTTGAATGGGCACAGATTGCTCCAAAATTAGATTTTGTGAAGAAAACCCAGAAGCAGGTTTTAAAATAGGTTTGGCAGTCTGCTCTAGTGGCCTGCTGCATAATCATTCTGTTATAAAATGAAGCCTGACTGTGAGAAATTAGTTGAGTTTTTATCTTGCCTGTTAGTCTGCTTATAGGAAATCTATAAGCTCAGCAGCTAGCACAGCTGATTTAAATGGATCTCCTTTAAAGTTTTACGTTTGGGTATTGCTGTCAGCACTTTCAAAGTGCTGCTAACTTTTGCAGCTGTGCTTGCAGGAAACATTTGAGACAGATTTCAACTTTATTTTTTGGTTCTTTTTAGATTGTTTTTGTGGCATTTTTACTTAATTATACTGTGCACAGTTTTCAGTGACATGCAAGATGATAGAGGGAGAGAGAAATATATGAGAGAGGTTGTAAGCCAGACTTGCATTCATGACATTTAAAGAATGGAGCATTCTCTTTTACCGTGCTGTGCCACGTAGAGCTGGATCATAATATAGTGAACTTTAAACTTCGGGTTTGCTTTATTGACTGTTGGTCCAGCCTAGAAAAAACAACGTGCAAATCTAGTAAGATGATTATCTAGTAAACACAGCTGTCTGACTTCATCCTGACCGATATGTTATCACCACTGACATACAAACCAATGCCTAAAATTTAAATACACACATACAACAGAAAAGCAGAAGCAGAGTTAACACTTAGTAGATATAAATGGGAGCTGTATGTCTGCAAAACATAACAAATATACCACGTTTACCACGTCTGAATAGTGACTAATTTAAGCCTAAATCTTGCTTAAACTTTCTGTCCTAAACCGTCCTAAAAGTGTGGAATTACCACAGCCTACCAACAAATTAACTACCAAATGCTCACACATTGTGCTTGTGGTGGTTGTGTTTGTACTTTGCCAGTTAAACAACCATCGTTTAGAGGTGCTACTCCTTTCAAAACTAATAATTGCCTGTGATCGGGAGAAGGGTGGGGTGGGGGGCTTGTGAAAGTTGTGAGGCACCAGCCGCTGTGGTTAGGAGATGGAAAAATAAGCTTCCTTTCCTGGGTGGGAGTTACATCTGTGTATAAACGCTAGTGTGGGTTAGTGTTGCCAAGGAAAAGAGGCCTTGGAAAAAGATTGCTGGCCGCAACAATGATTTGAACTTTTATTCTTCAGTGCATTGAAATGTGGTGTCTGTGCTTTCATGACCACACAAAAAGCAAAACCACTGGATCCAGGTTAATCCATAAGCATGAGGCAGAGTGTTAAAATTAATACAGTCACAGGGGCAGTCACTCATTCCCGTCAGTCACCGTGAAGCCAGCTAGCATCACCGTCTGGATTTACTGTACAACCTGCCTCTCTACGCTGAAACACTAAGATAACCTCTCAGGCCAGATGACAGTGTTAATGAGCCGAAGATGCACACAAGCAGAGGAGAGAGTGAGACAGGAGGTTACAATGAATGCAGCAGGACAATGTAGATGATAGGGGAGACAGGCTACAGCAGCATCCTCAGGTTAAATATGAGACGTGGAGCTCCTCCTGGTGCCGGTACTAGGAACTACCGTCCAGTAATGCTTAGGGTGATTTTTCTACTTCAGTTAGACTAATTTCACGCTTGTCTTCTTTCTTTCATTTGCCTTTTTCTTAAGACGTTCTTTTTTTTGTTTCATCTCCAACATCTTATCCCATTTCCCCTTCTGTCTTATGTTCTTTCTGTCTTTTTCTACCCTGCTGCCGCTTTCTTTCTGTCTGTGCAATTTTCTCTCACATACTGTCACTGTAGATTTTGTTTTGTAGTTTGTTGATTGCTGCTTGTATGTGTTGAGTTTTCCTTATTGATTTTCATATTTCAGTATTCTTTAAAACAATGATTAAAAAAAACTTTCCTACTTCTCATTGATTTGTTTTTGTTCATTACAGATCAATGTGCTACAGTCCAAGAGAAGATCCGAAATCCTGAAATCAGTAAGTGTACTTACACTTCAAATAATCTATGCAGCTGCCTGATTGGCCCTCTGAATATTCACTGTCTCCTCCACAGATGTTGTCCTTCATGTACGCCCACCTGACATTCTTCCACCAAGGATATGACCTCTTCAGTGAACTACAACCTCTAATGAAACTGCTTGGAGGACAGGTACATGCTATAGTATACACACATGTGGACACACACACTCACACATGCAGCCTGTATTTATACTTGTGCACTGGTCTGCAGTTACACTGCCAAAACGCTAGTTGGCAGTGAGGTTTCCATGTTCCACTTAGTAGAGTGTATTTTTCTTCGTTGGTGAATGCCGTTAGTGTCACTCTCTCTTTCACTGTGATAAGATACCACAACTCTATGTAATTAAACATGTCATGTAAAACTTGACAGTCATTATTACTTCATAAGGGCTATGTCATTGTTAATATCAACTATAATGTGATTTAAATCCATTTTTTCTTGTTCAGTATTACTTACTAGTCAACATTGTTACTTATGATGGAAGAATGTCATTTTATTACATTACCCAGAAGTATGTTCATAGGTTCATAGGTTTTATTACATGTTTGAATTATTCAGAGAGAAATGTTTAATCATCATTTTTCTAATTCATATTGTATTTGCTGTCAGAAGGTATTGAACTCTTGATATTAATTTTTTGATAATCATTTTGATGGATCAAAATTTATGTATCATTTTTATTTAACTTTAATACTTTGAATAAAAATAAACACCAAGCCAGTCCTCTGCCACACTTGCAATACTATTAGAACATAAAGTATAAACTCTTGCAACATAAACAAACATGAATGTATTTTGAGCAGAGTAGCGGAATACTTTTTTAGTTATGTTTACATACCAGTGCGCTATCATGGGTAAACACTTTTTATTATGTAGACAAGGACACTATTGTTTTATTATCTAAACAGCGTGTGTTTCAGGTGATGGTTCTGAATTGTAACATCTTAGTTTGTACATAAGTGGTCCTAAATTTACACTGGCGTCATTACAGAGCATTAAACTTTGAGCTTCTGCCTTCGCCTCAAGACGACCTCTCTCTCCTCTTTGTGTTTCCACTGCAGTCTTTTCGCTCCATTCAGCTCTGTATGTTTTTGTGTGCATCCTCTGATAAACAGAGCCTTCCCTCTGAGCCAGAGGTTGGCCCGAATGTGACTTTAAGATGATTATCACAGTGGCGTTGCTGTTACAGTGAGCAGGAATGAGGAAGAAAGCAGCCAGAGGGCTGGAAAAAGCTTTTCCCACAGTCAGACTCATATGGTTGAAAGTCAGCTGAGCAAAAACAGCAAAGACACCCAAGATTGATGCTGAAAGTTGTGGAGTATAAACTGTGAGGCTGGAGCAGCAGAAGAGCCGAATGAGAGGACAATATTGCATCAAAATTGGGAGCAAGACAAAGGAGTCCAGCCACAGATTGGGGAGTTTGGAGTGCAGGGCACTTCTAAAGAGATAAGTGTAGCTAGTAAACATGTTTTACTAATGTGTGAAGCAACAGAAAAATGACAAAAAGAAACCAAACAGATTTTTTTTTATTTAAATGACAGAAAAAAGAAAGCCAGATCTGAAAAGTCGGGACAGTGGTCTTGTAAGTTGGATTGGAGAGGAGACTGTGGTTTCTAACCCTCATGCTCTGAAGTTGGAACCATCTGATCTTGGCACTATCAAGAAATTGACAGAAAGGACCAAAGAGAACTGGGAAAAGAAAAGGGGAAGACAAGACCCACTTTGAAAACCAGATGCTGTGAAAGGATAAGAGGCAGAATGTAATCTTCTCAAAGTAAAAAGTGATTGAAGTAGAATGGAAAGGCATGGACTATAAGCCCTAAACACTCAAAAGACTGCAAGGATTGTGTGTGTGGAGAGGGGGGGAAACCAGAGGAAGGACATAGACAAGTATAACTGCGTTGTGTGGATGGTAAGCCTGTCGCACTGAATTTGGAACATCGCAAAAGTGAAAGGAGAGGAAGATCAGAGGCCGAGCAGTTGGGAGCTGTGACAAGAGGATTGTGGATTATTTATTTTCTACTCTCATCATGAAGCTGAAGAAGGTGGAGAGGCTGTGCAGGGAGATGTGGAGGAGCTGTCAACAGGTCTGATTATATGACTTGATGCCTGTTACAAATGAGAAAGTGATCAAGAGTGGGAAAATTAGTAATAGAACGTTTTGGTTTTTATCTATTCTGTAATTAAACTGGTGAGAGGAATTTGGTGAGCTGGTAAATAGACTAAAGCACAGTAGTTATCATCTGAATGAATGGCCTCTTTATGATTCCTGTTAAATATGCTACTTTTTCCACCCTCTCCTTTGGAAACCGCTAGACAGCTTCTAAATATAAACTATTTTGCTGATGGCATCGTTCCATGACACAAAGCCTCAGGGTTAACGCATGTAGAGTGGATATATTCATTCAAAAGGATGTTTTGTATCTTTTCCATGAATCATGCTGCTTGTCTTCGTAGTTGCATGTCAAGACAGATCTGAGCAGAAGGCAGACTGACCAAAATGCTTTGGTGTGGTGCTGTGGTCTCTAGTCGGCAAACAGAGGCAGAATAAAACATTTGAAGTGATTGTCTCTGCTGACATCGTCAGTGTGGGATAGGGTAGCGAGATAGATATGCTGTTAAAGTTAAGGTGAATCACTGACTCACTGCGGAGAGCTACACATAGAAACACATACATCTGCCCATTCACAGATACAGATAGTAGCCAATAGACAGCATGGACTGGACTGATCTAGTTGTTATGGTGAGAGAGGGAAAAACATTTCCCATCTGATGTTATCAGCCTGCCGCTCTGCCGTCCACCCATTTCCTCTAAACAAAACACCCTCAAATGATGTCTTCTCTAAAATTATTGGGTAGCAGCATTTTCACATTTTCCTCAAAAGTAGTATATTTTGTGAAGGAAAGTCAATTAAGCATAAAATAATTAGAATGTTATTTTGCTGAACACTTTAGCTTTTTAAAACTACAAGACAAAACTTTGCACCATCAGAAAGGAAGTAAAATGCTGGTTCAGCCCAGTTTCATCTCATGTGGTACACTGGCTTCTCTGTAACCCATTAGTATGAATTACCATCTAGCTTGAAGCTGTGGTACAGAAACTGGTGCCTGTAAAGCCGCAGACATTAGAAGCATGATGAACACAGCTAATCTGTAGTAAACATAACACTCATGTTTCACATGCCTGTCACATTTCTTTGTACTTGTTTTCCTTTTCTTTCCTTTTTGTTGGTTTTAAAAATTCCCTGTCCATGATTGCCAGAACTTAACCCACGTCAAATGGATGGCCAAACAAAAGCTGTATCCTAATATTGAAGAATGCAAGGCATATAATGCATTAACAGGGTCACAGACCTTGAGACGTTGAACACATCCAAATTTGTTGTTTTTTCAATCATGACAACTTACATATTAGCTTTAAATTGTATAATTAAGAGGAAATGGTTGGCTCCATGACAACTATTACGAGTTTCCTGACAAGCCTGATATCAAGCTAATTGTCCGTATTTACAAAACAAGTGTAAAGAAAAGAAATAGGTTAATCATGTGTGATTTGAGGCACTGTTTTAAAAACAATCTGCCCTTCAGCACTTACAGTAACACTGTCTTCTTATGCATTTTGCTGACTGAAGCTTTAAACCCTCCTCACCCCTTATTCATATATATTCTGCATTCCCTTCCCCAATCCTTGACCTATTATCACCTATTATACTGATCCTTTTGTGTTTGAGGTTTGAGACATACTGATTTAGGTCAAATTGCAGCAACAGACTAGAGGCACAGAGTAGAAATTTCAGTGCTGTAAGGCAAACTGGCACATTTTTGGCATCACCCTATGACCTCCAGCACTTAATTGAAGTCCTTTAATTTGTTGCTTTCTTCTTTGCTGAAAAGATTCTTTGTTTTTTACTCTACACGCTATGGCTACTCGTGGGGATGAGGAGAATCAGTCAGTCACCATCCAATTTCGCACATGAAGCATCAGTAGTACAGTTCATTTTGTTTGGGGGAGAAGGCCTGACTTGTGGAGAAGTTGTTTTTGTTGGAATCCTTATGCTCTCAAGATTGGAAAGGGAAATAAAGATGTATTGGTGCACACACACTTATATACTTTCAAGTGCTGTCCACAAAGTCTTACCTTTAAATGGCCAAGCATTAGATTGTATGACTGTCAGACCACCTACCTTTATATACGTTGTTTTCTGTAATCATTTTGTGAGATAAATCATAAAGTAAGTATGAATGATTTTAAGTGTGTTAAATGTGTAATTTGGGGTTAAGTCCTGTTGAATTTACCCAATACAGGAAATGGCATGTCTTTAAAAGAAAAACTCAAGAAATGTGTCTTGTGTTTTGATTTAAATACATGTGACCAGGTGGTTTGGTAAGCTTGACTAATCTGTGTTCTGTCTCTTGCAGTTGGACCAGCTGGTGGTGGACGCTGCCAAAGAGAAGAGAGACATGGAGCAGAAACACTCCACCATCCAGCAAAAGGTACACTTTCACAATATGGTCCCATCTTCACTTAAATTTAAACACAAATGCACAAAGCGCATGCAAACTAAAATATCATTCACACTTTGAGCACCATGCAACATACTTAGGTGTGCAATTGTGAATGAAAATCATCAGAACTGTATCCTGCTTTCCTCTGCCTAGCAACCTGATGAACACAGAAACGTAAACATACACTCACTCAGTGTGTGCTCTTGCGTGTTTGTGGCTGTTAGATCCTTTTGCCTGGTCACAAAGCCTTTCTTATTACACTCAGGCCTCCTCCCATTAAAAGTAAACCCATGGCACTCTGCTGGGATCTTGCAGGACTTACCCCATGACCTGGTGCTTTTATCCCCAAATCAAAACATCCCTAAGTGCCATCACCGCTCACCTGCCCTGAACTCTCTGAGTTGGGGCCACCATGCTAAAATATTACAAGCTTGTGGTACTGTAAAGCACTCAGGATGAATGCATTCAAGTCTTTTATTGTTTGGTTAATTGAAATTCTAAGGACAAATCAGTGATTTGCAATTGAAAGAAATTATGTGAACTTATAAAATAATTTGCACAATGGAGTATTCATACTAAAGCTGTTGATTTCAGCCATTTACTGCACATGTGTCATTGGAGTGAATGGAGGTAATGCTACGCCCTCAGGTGTAAGGTGATCCCGCAGGATGATCTCAGCCACACACACATACATTATTGACGGCTGACGGAAACCCATTTCCAAACAAACAAGGTTGGGTTTCATCACTCTACCATATCTGGTCAATGAGTCATACTTTTTGATATATTGCTTGCTAGAAGGATGCACAAGAAGTTTTGACAAGGAATAAAATGTAAAGAACTTTCAGCTATCAGAGCAGTTTTTGCACCTAAACATTTTATTTTTATATTATAGGGCAATAGATAAAGTATATTAAACGATCTAAAAACATTTTTGTCTTAGCCTTCTGTTCATTTTGTACACTGATCTCTTTGGCGCGTGTGTGAAGTGTGATGTGGGGTGTTATGTTACAATATGTGATGGTGATTAATTGCCCTTAGCTTTACTTGTACATCACACAGCATCATTAACTCCAGACAACATCTGCCAGTTCTTCACCCAGCTGTTGTCTGCTCAGCTTCTGTTAATTTGTCTGCTGTGTGTTCATTTCAGTCATCTCATCTGGTGTATGTCTTTTGAGATGTCTTTCTTTTTTAGTCCTTTCTGTTGTTCTTTCCATATGTCCCTTTGAAATTTGTTTGTGTGTGGGTTTTGCCTTCTACCTCTGTGTTTTTCTTTTGCTTCTTGTCTCTCCCTCTTTTCCTTCTTGCTCTTTCGGTGATAGTACATGCACCAACTTCTGCCTGTCCTTGAAAACCTATCCACCACCTCCCCTTCCTCAATTTATTTAGATGCTATTTTTATATTGTCTCGCTCCCACTGCGCTTTCTCTCTCATGTGGTTGTTAATACACAGACACTAACCAACAGTCTCTTCTTTTCTTATACTGCTGCTCTTTTCCCCATATATCTTCTTCTTCTACTCACTTCAGGCTGCTCTGCAGGTAAGCTGTGTTACTCTTTTTCCTCACTGTCATTCATGTCTGCATGGTTTGATGGATATTGTATTCTTTGCTGTAACTGCTTGGAAATGCAGTTCACTTCATTTGTAGTGAGACAAGTGAGCTGTTTCATCATGACATTAAATTGGCAACACACATGATATAATATCATTTCATTATATCAGTTGTCATGCATGTCCTAGTGCCTTTTTGCAGTTAATGTAGTCACCCTCAATTCATTTATGATATTAAGACTCTTTTGACACATTGTGCCTCATTGCACATGACTTTCCACTCTGTTTCATGCTGCTTGTTTTATGCTCCGTTGAGTTCAGTTGTTTACACATGTAAACTAAAGTATTAGTATTGCCTTACCAAGGACAAGAGGGATGGTCACATTTATTTTTAGTTATCTGTCAAAGGTTGAATGAAGTGAAGCATGCTACTCAGTATGTGTATGACATTCTACGCATAAGTGCATTGGGAAAGAAATGTATTGTGCTGGCATATTTACCTTGGGAAATATTTCCTTTAAGATGATTTGTTAACCCTTCTTGATAGCTTCACTCTGGGTTATTAACCTATGTTGCATTGTTTAATAAAATATCCCTAACATTAGTATTTCCCCAGTGTTGCAAGTCAAAGTGCACAAATGGTGTTTGGCAATTAGGCTCACACTCTTCCCCAGGCTTGATGCAGGCTTCCCCAGACCAGGTTAGGGTTTAGCATCATTTTCAAAGACTGTATAAAGACTTGTACTTGCTGTGGCAGGGACTGTATCTGTGACCTTATAAGACAGGTTCTTTAACCCATAAAGCTACTTTACCACATTACAATATAACACACAATGCCAGTTTAAATATAATTAGCAAAAACTGAAAATTTGCACCAACATTAACAAAACAGACTTTGTAGTAGTGTTGGTGATGCCTTTACCTATTGCCCCCTATTGGGTAGTTTGTATGTCTCTTCTATCACTACGCATACTGTCCACTTGTGCTTGCACATAATCATTTCCCATTCCCCTTCATTGTATTGATGAAACCTTCCATCCTCATGAGAGTTGAAAAGGGTCCTGAGGTTATGTTTAGTATGCTTCCTGTGTGCATTATTCCACTGCAGCACTGTGACCACAGGGCATGACAGTGTCACAGTGGTGCTACAGGAGTGAGAGACAGGCTGCTGACTTAAAGATTTTCCTGTCTTATTTCATAAAGAAACAAAATAAGTGATTTTGAGATGGCTGTGGTAATCAAATGGTCTGGTGGTTTTTCTCCCATAATAAGCCTCTTAACAGTCATACACACTACACACACATTTTAAAGGCCCAAACAGACATTCAGCATGGTTAAAGGAATGGCTACTTTATTTACAAACACACACACACACACACACACACAGTGACGGGAAAAGCTGAGTGCACGTCTGTTATGCTGAAGTCAGTATAAATGTTTGATGTGCGAGCTCCTCTGCACGGTCCACTTGATTATTCTAACCCAACAGTCACACCAGTGTCTCACACACAAAGAGAGACTCGCATACACACAGATGACCTTCGCTTAGCGCATGAGGCCTGCGGAGGAGGAGCAGCAGAGGCAGTGACGGAAGTTTTGATAGCCATACACAGCCACTGGAGAGGAGGAGGAGGTGAGAGTTTGTTGAAGAGACAGGCCACGCTGCTTAGAGTCACAGACTGTCATTGCGATGCTACACAGGGAGACTTTGAGATAGCGAAGATTCATCGGCCTTACGGGGACGCATACAGGGTGGCTCCCGCGCCATAAAATCTGTGAAAAATGAAGATTTTCAGCCGTTTTCACTACGTTTGGTATCTGGTGAGTGCACCTAAAGAAGGGAGACCAAGTTAGAGTATGTGTGTGTCCACGCACGTGACGGTGTCTGTGTGCCCATGGCTGTTTATAATAATAGTCTATGTTTATGTTTGTCTGCTTTAGCTTGAGTGTTTTCTCTTGTCTGGTCACCATTTTTTATTTTGACAAATTCATAATATCTAAAATTAGTCTGTGTAAGAGAATGGAAATACATATTTCTTTTATCTTTTCTCTTGCTGTGTGTGACATTTTAGGAGGTGACTGAGCTCGACTCTGACTACCGCAACTTTTGTGCTTGGAGGTCGACCTCTGTACGTAGAGTCCCGCATTGATTTCCATCTGACTTCCGTTTTGTAACCTTACCTGCCACTGTCTTTCATCCCCTCTCCTGCACACGCTACAAGACTGCATTGCAGTGTTTGTGTAGGTGTTTGCACCTTGGTCTGTTCCCTCATTTTAGAGTGTTGCACATCCATTTGGGTTGATGTGTCTTGATTGTGCCGCATGTTTATCTCGATACCTCATTGTTGGTGCCAAGTTGCTGGTTTGATGTAAGTGAGTGGTTTGTTGCATTGCAGTCATGTTTTAGCTTGTTAGATAATAACTGAACATATCTCTGTGGTCAGGCGAAAACCTTTCATCTCTAAAATGTTTCAGGAACTAAGAACAACAGACAAACGTATAGTTTGCCCGTTTTTTAAATGTATGCAACAGGTATGAAAAATGGTTTCCCATGCCCAAGCGGCCACAGAAATGTCTCAACTCATTGTAGAAACAAGAGCACTAGAAGGGTTTTCACATGACAGTAACAGTGTTGCACTATATGTGCTTCATTCTTTGGCCTCGGTCCTAATTAGGGATTGATTGTGGTTGTATGGATATTTGAGCGAGTGTGTACTTGTGTGAATAAATGCACAGATGCATCAATAAAGTCAGTTTTGGTGTTTTCCCTGGCCTGAGCTGAATTAACAGTGGTTTCCTCATTCATTTATTCATTCACTCTCCATACCACTACTGATGTACAGAATTATGTATTTAACTTAAAAAATGTAGTTATTACTATAATTGTGAGAATTGCCTGGCCCTACTCCCGAGGTAAATTTTGTCCCACCTCTAGGAAAAGAGGATTTGTTTAATACCTGGAATGGTACGTTCCATTGTCTTTCTGTTCAGAAGCTTAATACGAACACATTTTGTTCACTTTGTGCAACCAAAATAACTTCACTTGTCCCACTGTATGTCATGCTGGAAAATGTGTGTGTATGTGCGTGCATCTGTTCGATACACCATGGTATCATAGGGCAGAGGGGTTTAACTTTTGCTTTGTTTACAGATCCAAGCAAAGAGAGGCAACGTCCAAGCAGAAGAAGTAAATAGAGACTGAGAGAAGTGATGTCATTAGGCGCACTCCTTCATATGCTTAATGTGAACATGTCAAACTATCTCTTCATAATCAATTAAAAGGGAGAAAAATAACACTAGCAGCAATAAGGGATTGAACATACAACCCTTCGAACAGGAGTCCTGTGCACTGACTGAGCTAAACAGGCACACAGCAAATGGCGTATTATAAATGATTTATGTTCTGGCCCGTCATGTAATGACTTGAAAAAAATTGTCCCGATGCCAGACTTATTTGCCGAACCCTGCTGTGTGAGTGTCAACTGTAGGTGGAACTCTTCTTTGTGGGAGTCTGCAACATGTAGATTTTAGATTGTTATTGTTGGATCTGATTTGTCCTCGAGCACTTGCCAGACTTAAAGTTCATAAAGCATCGCATGAGTACACTTTATTAAGGGCTTTCATCCTCAATTCCAATCAAATACTCTCCAGGAAGGGTTTGAAATAAAACGTATCGCAAAGAGGAACATCTTGAACAAAGACAGAATGCAGTCAGAATATTAGTAGAATGCCAAAACTCTTTTATAAAATAAATCTTTTTATAGATTCCTCCACTGAGATTAAGAATATGTAGAATCCTTTATGTACATGTTTAGCACTGTTGCTTTCCTGGAAGTAAACAGGAAATAGTAGTCATTGTCACCACCTGCTGAACAACTGAGGTAATTTCCACTCAGCACACAGAATTATCAGTGTTGACATATTTTACTTACGGATTTTTCCCTACTAGGGTACTTGTCCGTCGTATATTTTTCTTTATTCTGTAGTCATGCCACATGCCAGCAGTTTGTGCTTTTAAAAAAAGTTTAAACCAATGAGTGTCACAACCTAAATGTATGCTTTATGGTAACCATGGTGGATTGTACTGCATTTTAAACAAACACACTTTGAACATTGTAAAGTTTGTCCTACACTAATATCTAACAACCGACAAGATTATGGTCTACACATATGAATGTAAAGTAGAAATTACCATCAGCCGTGTTCTTTAATGCGGCTGTTTCACTCCATCAATTCAAACTTTCTCTGCATACAGTAAATACTGCTGTCAAGGTTTGATCTCATGTCCATTTGTTTGGGTTATACAATTATGATCAGAGCAGCATGGAGGATGGAGGACAAGGTGAATCAGACAGGTCTGTGTCAGAAAAAGACTGGATGTTTCTAGAAGGACTCGCATCTCATTACAGTAATAGACCTCAAGTTGTAATTGGTTGTGGACACGGTGAACTCATTGTAAATTGACTCCACAAGGACTCACGCACGCATGCATAATGGTGTTCAATGTCACTTTAAGCTGAGAAAGCTGGGAGGGTGTTAGGAAAGTGTGGCAGCAGCTCAGGTAGTTAAAGCTGGACTGGCACACAGGGACAGTCCCATGACAACACACCAGGTTGGGTTACAGCAGCAGCAGAGTCAGTGAGAGAAAGGATGCAGGAGATCTCACTTTGCAACTTTACATTAACTAGGACATTAACTAACTCACCAACTAGTTAGCTTAATACCTTATAATATTATTGTTTGGTGCAGTTTTTATACTGTAATTTGTTAAGAAGCAATAGGTAGTGTTTATGGTTGTATGCAAGTATTGAGAAATGGGACTACTGGACATAGTGGTTCTTGGCAAACTACGCAGTATGTGATTTTAAACTATTGAAACTGACAACTTTATTAGTGGAAGACAAGTCTCAGTAAAGTGGTGTATAACTAACATTAGAAGATTTTCCAGTGTTATTTTTTATTAGGATTCTCAGGGGTGAATTCACAAAAGGATTGTGCGGCTATTGCATCAACTAAACCTGCACAAATAAGACAAAAAGGAACCGTGTAATTCTCAAATCTCCCGGAAAGGTTGAAATGCACCCCTAACCTGTGCTGCCAAGCAAGAAGTGTCTTGGTGCTCCGGTGCTATTGGCACATTTAAATTAGGTAATGTGCATACATTTGGTGCAAAATTGACCACACAGTTAGAGTGAAATCATTTTTTGCAATCCATTCTTTGCGAATTAGCCACTCAGATTTTTTAACCTCCTTTCTCAGGCATTATGATGTATTTGAATATAGTATAGCTCTCTCAAGCATCAGCTATACATGTTGTTCCTGTCTTACCTTGTTCTTGGTGTGAAACCTCATTCAGCTCAGTGTGAGAAGCAGCCGTGCAGTGCTGCTTTGTGCAAGGTCACTCAACACAAGTGAGACTAATTGCCCTATTTGTGACTTTTGGAAAAGTGCTGAGTCACTGCTCACCCCAGAAAAAATCCCTAGGACCAAAAGAAAATATCAACATTTTAAAATGTTGATAATGTGGGAAATTTGTATTTCAACATGTTTGCTTACTTTTCCTGTTTAACACTTGGATATTCTTTCCATTTTCTCTCTCCTTTACTCTTTTGCTCAGGACTTCTCGAATGACGACACCAAGCTGGAATACAATGTTGATGCAGATAACGGTATCGCCATGGAGGGTTATCTCTTTAAGAGGGCCAGCAACGCCTTCAAGACGTGGAATAGGTGCAATAGACTGTTTAATTACCATATTTATGAATATATTTATGATAAGGAATAACTATAGTGGCTGATTATGGATTTAGAAGGGCAAGCATTGTCATGAAAATGTAGAAGAGATATTAAAGGTGCTTTAAATTTGAATATATCAACACAGGAAACAGGAAAAGGGTTAATGCTGTACATTATTACCAGAAATTACCATTCCTGACAATCCTATGACTCTGTCCTTCTTTTTTTTTTTTAAGTTGGTCCATATAATTGAGGTTTTATTATACTCTGGACCCAGAAAACCTTTAGAAAACATGTACAGATGATGCTTTGGTTGGGATAGCTGTTCCTCACGTCATTTTATTCCAAATTGAATATGAACAAAACTCAAGAAAAGTGCAAATAATGCAGTTTGAGGTAATGAATTATGGCACTGTTAATGAATAAGCCTTTTTTGACTGAATTCTGCAAATTATAATTATTGTTGTTTGTTATTTTACGAGCATTTCTGGCAACTGCGTGTGACTTTGTTTTTTCCCGGATCTCCTTTCAGGCGTTGGTTCTCCATCCAGAACAATCAGCTAGTTTACCAGAAGAAATTTAAGGTATGCCAGCGACTCTGCACTGTTGCTAAATGATTGAGTCTACATTAGGGTTGTAATGTTATTACAGCTTCACAGTATACCATGGTATGAACTTTTACAGTTATCATACAATGTACATATGTACACGTAGGAGGGGGGGGGGCGTTAGTTCAACCAAGAAAAATGCAAATCGTGCATCGTATAACACTGAGAAATGATCAAATATTGATGATTATTAGTTGAATTGGCCAGTTTATTAAGTTATGACCCATTTCCACAGGCAGAATGTCACGCTTATATATTTTTTTTCCCAACACCCTAACAGCAGGGAATAACCACACCAACCCGTGATATAGTCTATGTTGCCCTCTTTTTGAATAGTAAGCTTGATTGAAATATTGGCAAACATTTAGATTTTGATATTTTTCGTGCTTTATTTGTTGGTGAATCTATTTTAAATATTAAGGGAGAAAATATTTGTGTGTGTGTGTGTATTGTGTTTAACCAAAGCTTCTGTGCTGTCCCCCCAGGACAACCCTACAGTGGTGGTAGAGGACCTGAGACTATGTACAGTCAAACACTGTGAGGATATAGAGCGTCGTTTCTGTTTCGAAGTGGTGTCACCAACCAAGTAAGTTTGAGTCATTGAAATATCCCTGCCTATTAGTCTAATGAGCACTGGAATATGTAACTAAAGGTGTGAAGGTGGAGTAGCAGTGTACCCACCTCCTACCACATGCACGCACGCACATACACTTTTGGCAGACAGCAGTTGTGTAATACTTGTGTGTCCCAACAGGAGCTGTATGATGCAAGCAGACTCAGAGAAGCTGCGACAGGCCTGGATCAAAGCTGTCCAGAACAGCATTGCCACCGCCTTCCGCGACAAGGGAGAAGAGGGCGAGGTAAAATCCAAACACACTGACGCTGAGTGGATAGTTGAAGGATTCACACATTCACACATAGATAAACAAGTCAATACATCATGAGTGAACTTTAACTAACCTGTGTTTACTGTATGTACAAAACACCAGTTTCCTATACTCTTGTTACCATCCAGTTAATTTTTAGCTTGTGTAGACTGTTAAGTTACACAGGGATAAAGTTTGTTTAATTTATTTAATTCTATTCCATCCCATCTTATTAATATTTACCATCCCTCTGGACATCTGTGCCTTCCCCCATCTCTCATGTCAGAAGCTTGATAGGAGGTCGTCCACATCGACAGGGAGCCTGGACTCTAGTGGGGAGCCGAAGGAGAGATCACTGAAAGGAGAGAGTGCCCTGCAGAAGGTCCTGGCAATCCCAGGCAACACCTGCTGCTGCGACTGTGGCCAGCCAGACCCCCGCTGGGCCAGCATCAATCTGGGCATTACCCTCTGCATACAGTGCTCTGGTATCCACAGGTAAAGTAATATGGTTTTGGTTGCAAGCAAATCCTCATAATAGGTCTTTTAATATGTTTTCGAACAGCTACACACAAGAATGACAGCAAAAGCTAGACCCACAATAACAAAGAACCATGGAAAAGATGGATAAATAAAATATCAGGCTAAAAAGAAAAATCACAAAGGAAGATCCAAAGTCATGAAGCTCTTAAATAACCAACTTACAGTTAGGTTACAATACATCTAAGTGCTATGAAAATTCCAGAACACAGAAACCGAGAGAAACTAATAAACCGAGGGAACTAATATCAGCACATTTTATTTATTTGTCTACCACTTTGCAGGAAAGCAGTTCATTTTGGTTCAGTGAAAACTGGAAAGAATTAAAAGTGGTCATTGCGTTGTGGCTTAGTCATAGAAAATAATTTCCTTCAGGACCGTGGTGTGAATGCTTTGCACAACATGTTGGTCTTCAGAGATTTATGAAATGTAAACTCACTGTTCTAAACACCCAGCCTGCTTGGGATGTTGTGAGGACCTTTAATTACTTGTCAGGTTAAAATATTTTATAATCATAAATTTTAATCTAAGTGTCCACGCCAGCTCCCATACTATCCATATAAAGCAATAATCACCTGGGGTTTCAGGTTCAAGAGTTTCCCCGCTACAACCTAAAAAACGAGTCGTTCTTAATTGTGATTCCTAACAGGAGTGGGTTCAGAATTTTAAGGAATTTAATTAAAGGAATTAAATTATCTCAGGCACTTTTCCTCTAGTGATATAATAACAAAGGCAGAGCTGCCAGTGTACCGCATGTTTATCTGAGACGTATATCTTTTACATACTGGGTTTTTGTGATTAATACTGCCGTGAATCTGCAGACCCCAATTTCACCCTTGTGGCTAAAACTTAAACTATACTCATGTGTAGTATAATGGTCTTCAAGTAATGTCATTGTGCTTTTTTTAATGCTTCTTTCATCTACAGGAGTCTGGGAGTGCATTTCTCTAAGGTTCGGTCTTTGACTTTGGATACATGGGAGCCAGAACTACTAAAGGTGAGCGAGGAAAACCTGATGTACATAAACAAACGCAGTTCAGACTTAATTTCTTTTTGTTGCACACACATTTATTTTCTCTTAGTCTGTTTTCTTATGTGCATGAAAATCACTGTAGACGGTGTAGCTATAGTTGAGTTATACATTCCACTGGCTGGTTGATTATCCAGGTGTGTTTGTAATTACTCATTTTATTGAACACTTTTTGCAGTTGATGTGTGAACTGGGAAATGGAGTGATTAACCAGATCTATGAGGCTAGGCGAGAGGAGCTCGGAGCCAGAAAACCACAGCCAGGAGATCCAAGGTACAGAACTGGTAGAAAGTATTTGTGTAAGTTGTGCAGGAATGAAGATTCATGAGTAAACACTCTTTTTTTGCTTTTTGGGTTTTATCGTTCCTAAAGGTGGGGTATGCAATTCTGACGAAATCTAATACCATGACAAATACCACGATATAGAGCAAACAATGACACAGCAAGTAATGTAACTAAGTTGTGGGTTAGCTGTGTTGAATTTGACAAAAATACATGTATTGGATTAGAACTGCCTGCCCCAACTTTATATAAACTTTATATAAAGAAAATTTGACCTAAGCCTCGTTATGACAATTAAACACCTAGTATGCAGTTGTTGTACAGCCTCTGCATCACATTGAGCTTGGTTTGAGTAGATAAAAGTGTTGTAAAAAGCAGTAGGCTGATGGCCAGTTTATTTCTCACCTTATTCACAAACAAAACTGTATGCTTGTTCCAAACAGACACGAGGTGGAGGCCTACATCAAAGCCAAATACGTGGACCGCCGGTTTGTACGCCGGCCATCAGACGAGGAGCTTCGCAGCAAAGTAGTTGCTCTGAGCAAGCAGGAGAAGAGGCTGAGCAGCAGCTCTGAGCATCTGCCCCCAAGAGCGCCACCACCCACCCCAAAACTCAGACCCGGTTCAAATGTCTCTGGACAGTCAGGTCAGTAGAAAAATGAGTCACCTTTGAATAACAGATGACCCACAGAACCAAACTCACAGCAAAAGCCATTTAAAGGTATGATCCTGGTGGTGGGGTCCGGTAATCACACAAATGGTTGCCACTAAAAAGTATATTGAATTTTAGCTGGATGGCGTTAAGTCCAACAAGCTGTCAGGACTAAATACAGTATTTATCAGTAACGTTTACAACATTACTAGTAGTTTGGGATGAGTCATTTTGAAAACTGAGATATTAAAATTAATAGAAGTTTTTGCCTGCTAATTGTATTTCTCTTTCATAGATGAGGAGCAGTGTTATATGAACTTTGCATTTTAAGTTTTCTCAGTGTTTTTATTTAATTTCTTTGTATGAATTTCTAATTTTCCCTAACTGAAAATACCTGGTTAATAAACAAATGCAATAGGATTTCAGAGTGTGACTTCATTGGTTTACCTCGTAGGGCTGTGCGATATGACTAAAATCTTAAATCCCGATATAGTGTCTTTACATCATAAAGGTGGGGTAAGCAATTCTGGAGAAATCTATACCATGACAAATACCATGATATAGAGTGAACCACGACACAGCAAGTAATGTAACTAATGTTAGCTAGGTTGTGGGTTAGCAAACTGTCGCTACTTGCTGCTGCAATAGCTAACATCACAACAAGCTGAATGTCCGTGAGCAAGTCATTAAACGTTACCTGACACACACATCATGGCTCGCCTATACAACAGACTTCTCTCTTAGGTATGAGCTCCTCGTTTTTGCGTGCATGGTCTGAGTCCTCCATGTTTGTCTTCCCTGTAACACCGGCACATGTGAAAGAACGTACTGCGGTGAAGTAAGTTTCAAGTTGGATATTATTTTAAAGTTGGAGGAATCTCCAACTAGGCGGCACGGTGGTGCAGTGGTTAGCACTGTCGCCTCACAGCAAGAAGGTCGTGGGTCGTTGCCCCGGCCTTTCTGTGCGGAGTTTGTATGTTCTCCCCGTGTCTGCGTGGGTTCTCTCCGGGTGCTCCGGCTTCCTCCCACCATCCAAAGATATGCGGACTAGGTTAATTGTGTGAGTGTGAGTGGTTGTTTGTCTGCGATGGACTGGCGACCTGTCCAGGTTGTACCCCGCCTTTCGCCCGATGTCAGCTGGGATAGGCTCCAGCCCCCGCGACCCTGTGCGCAGGATAAGCGGTTGACGATGGATGGATGAATCTCCAACTTAAAAGCAACTTCATCATGGTGCAAAGTGACTTCCCTTGTGTGTATTTTTGCGATGCAACAAAATAAACGATAGAACATAATTTTAAACAGACGTTTTTCTATCATCAAACAATATATATCATCAGATCGCACAGCCCTATGCCACAGGAACAGAACATTTAATGACTTTAAGAAGCACTATATAATACACTGCATCCAGCGGGCAAAGCCAGTGTCATCTGTAATTGTGGCCACCTCTTCTATTGTATGTGATTTTTTACACTGCCATGGAAAAGTGTTCACCCATTGGCATACTGTATGCTCTCTGTGAACAGCATATGTCTATAAGCCCTCTTTGCCTCCCATTGCTTCTCGTAGTCTGTTTCTTCCAGTGTCGACCAAGCTGGTAGTCTAACTTTCACCCTGCTTTCCTCTCTCTCCTCTTCCTCAACCTCTTGTTCACACACACTCTCTCTTTTTCTATCCTCCCCTGGCTGTTCTTGTGCTTCTGGACTAACCCCTGCTCTCACCGCCTACCCTAAATCTCCCCACCCTGCTACTCAATTTGCACCATTTGCCTTCCAATTTCTGCACTCCCATCATCCCTAACGTAGCTGTTGCCAGCGGCTCAGGGGCCCGCCGCGACTCTCTCTTCTGTCCTGACGAGCTTGACTCACTCTTCTCCTACTTTGACAACTCCTCCAAACTCAGGAGCAGTAAGTACTAAATGCTTAGTGTTTTGCTTGCTTCTCCATCCCCTCTGTCCGTTTCGTATTCCCTGCTTTGGGGGTGTGGACTAACAACCCTTCATTCATTCCTCTGTTCCTCTCTCATCCAGACCTTTCTAACGGCCCATCTCGTCATGTTAAGAGCATCACACAGAGTGTATCATGTTTTGTTTTTCCTGGGGTTGGGGAGTGTTTCTCTCACACATGGTTTTGATCATTGTCTGGTATTTGCATTTGTTTCTTTCTCATCATATTTTTTTGGTATTTAGGGACCTGAAACATGAGGTGATGGTGGGGATTTGTCATCCAGTTCTCTTTCTGTTGATTTCAGCTGGGGACTTGTGTGTACACTTCACTGTACAAAATATTAGGACCACCTGCTGTTTCTGGTAATCACACTGGAAAGAAATTAGCACCTGTCAAAAGCCAGTAGATGTTCAAAAGACTTGTTTGTTTAAAATGCTTCTGAGGGCCTACATAAGGAGGTTGTGTGTGTTGACCTGCCTGATTTTTTGCTTTCCACCGAAACAATCAGCAGAAAGGTGTTCCTTTTATTTTATACACTCTGTGATTGATATCTGTATGTTGTTTCACAAGTAGTGATTCAGTCTTGTCTTACAGTAAAAAGTGCAGACAGCGGCATCCAGAACAGCGCTGATGGGAGCAGGGAGATGCTGGCCAACACCCCCTCCAATAACAGCCTGACAGATGCAGGCAAGACACAAACACATACACTCACACAACTCTGTCATTACATAGACGTCCCTGCCTATTTACATCAAAGGCCCACTTAAAAAACAACATCTTGCATAAGCATCGGAGCGACAAGGCGATGCTGGAGGAAGAATGATGCAAGAGAAAGAAGAAATTGCAAATGCTTATTGCAGTTTGGCTTATACACAAACCTTTAAAACACACAGTCATAGTAAGTGATGCCTTCATCTGTGCCATTGCTAAGATTAAAAGAGAAGGATGCAAATGTTGAGCTACAAGCTTCCACTTGGAGACAACTGCACATGAGCTAATAAGGGGTGACAAAAAATGTCCCTGCAGAAAACATTCAGGGAAAACACAACACTGTCAGTCCATAAAAGTTTTTTTTAATGTAGCACTATGTTGGAGACAAGAAGGAGCAATCAGAGTTATAGGACAGTTATGGAAGTTTTCTCCAGTAATTGAACGCCGCTCTGGAAAGCTTTATGAAGGGATATCATAGTTTTCCCAGCCTGGACAAGATTTCGAAAATCAATAGTGAGGAAAACTGATACAATACACAGATGACTTGGCATTTCTACTTATTGTTGTATTTATTGTCGAGAGTGGTAAGTAGTAACTGATTCTACCCATTGAACTTGAATCTCTTTCTTCCTATTTTCCAGATGCTGCTGAGTCTCCACCCATGGCCATGCCAGCTACTCTGCCTCCTCCATCCCCTTGTAAGGAGATGGTTTTCTACGAGCCTAAGGAGTACAGCCCGGGTCTGCAGCTCTACTGGGCCTCATGTGCTCGCAGCCTGCCGGACATGGCGGAGGCACTGGCCCACGGAGCCGAGGTCAACTGGGTCAACACGGAGGACGACAAGAGGACGCCGCTCATCATGGCGGTACAGGGGGTGAGCATCGCTACCGATAATCCAGTCTGCTCCGCACTATTTACTAAACTGATAGGGTATTTTGAAAGACCATTAACACACTAATTTAATAATTCAGTTTTTGTTAATGAACAGTAATTGAAGTGTTGCATATATAATGTAAAGCCAGTCAGTAATGCTATTCATGTTTCTATGTATACAAAATAAAAAAAGAAATCATCATTCAGGGAATGTTTTAGCCAAATAATTGCCAGCGAAACTGAAGAACTGATCTTGAGATAATAAGAAAACTTGCGTAGTACTATAATTTATTACATTAATTGTTCATTTCAGGGTTCGCTGGTCACCTGTGAGTTTCTGCTTCAAAATGCAGCGAATGTGAACCAGCAGGATGCTCAGGGCCGAGGACCCCTCCACCACGCCACCATGATGGGACACACAGGGTTTGTCTTACACATCTTACCTTCATTACTTCACTTTTGCTCAGTGATGCAACCCAGATTATGTTTGACCTAAAAATAAATAAATAAAAAACCTAAACCTCTCTCTTTGTTTCAGGCAAGTGTGTTTATTCTTGAAAAGAGGAGCAAATCAAAATGCTGCAGACATTGACGAGAAAACCCCCCTGACAATAGCAGTGGAGGCAGCCAACGCAGACATCGTCACACTGTGAGTGTTATTCTTTTGTTGTTATAATTATCAACCATTAATAGTGGTTTTGTTAAATGTTAAGGCTCCCACTGTAGGATCGGTTTGGAAAGTGAAGCTAATTATTTGGTGTATTTTTAAGGTATTAATAAGGGCTAAATAAACCCTAACAGGATAAAACAAGAACCAGATGCAGAGCAGAGATCCCGCTAGGGAGTTCTTTTCTGAAACTGACTCATTGTACCTTATACCTCCATCACACAACTGCTTTAAAAAAGGCTGAACTCTTTTATGATTTTATTACAAGCTAAAAAAACAAACATCTGAAAAAAACTTAAGCCACTTTAACTTTCTGTATTAACTAAGGAGTAACAACCTTTCCCACAAGGTGTCACTGTTTAATCACTGCACAGATCTGTTACTTGTAGATGTAACATAGTGGCCTGTAAGAACTAATATTTATCAGAGTGAAGCATTTGTCTGAGAACTGTAATAAACTTATTGTGTTTGAAAAGAGTTGATAAGCATTACATGAAAAACATTACATGTTATAAAAATAATACATGTTATAAAATACAACTAGGACCCTGACATTAGAGTGAAATTGTAAGAGTTTGATTATTGACTGTACCTCTTAACTGCGGTTAATCTGTCACTTACTGTTTCTCAACCCACTCCCCAGGTTGCGACTGGCCAAAATGAACGAGGAGATGCGAGAGGCGGAAGGGCCCTACAGCCAGTCAGGTCAATATAACACCAACAGCCCTACCGAGATGCAGTACAGGAAGTGCATGCAGGAGTTTATTAGCCTGCAGCTGGACGAAACCTAATAACTGTCTGCTCTTGCTTAAACACAGGGGCAATGTATACTGTAAAACCAGGCTTATCACAGGACATGTAAAGCCCAGGTTTCAGAGTTGGGGTCAGTTGAAAGAAAAACTGCAGGTGAATCCAGACAATTCATTCTCAGTGGTTTGATTACAATTTTTTTATTAAGACTTCCAGCTTAAGAGAAATTTGATCCACTGATTTAAAGTGAACTGAGCCCAGCTCTGTCAGTTGTGCTTCTGTGTCCTACTGTACTGTGTGTGCGACTATCATCTTATCCGCCCAGCTCCATCAGGTTTCTGAGCCACCGCACATTAGTGTGGTGATCAGGTGCTAGACTTTATCAGCTCGACTGGGTTAAAGCCATCGACTCTGGACGTTACCCAAGAGTTCTGTTCCCAAGTGGAACATCCACATTTTCAATAAAGTGGCTGTTACTAATGTAAAAGTATTGATAGCACAAAATTTTAGTGTCACTTTTTACTAGCACTTCATCCCTTTAGGTTAGAAATTGTACCACGGTTGCTGATTCCCTCTATTTTAGAGGTGTTCTGTGATTTATAGCAGCTAATGAGAAATTACTTTTGGGCTAAAATACATTTTATTTTTTAATTAGTATAGTGTCTCTGCTATCAGTCACAGTATCTTTGCAAAAAAACTAGCTACCCAGTAACTGCCACCAGTATCCAGCGACACTGAGACCTCAAAATGGCCGCAATAATCTGACTTTTGAATGACATTTTTTATCATCTGACCAGTCTGGACAGGCGTAGTGTGTGTCTATAAAGTTTAATTTTTAATTGACCTGTCAGAGGTAATTTATGCACATTCCTATTAACGGTTATGCAACTTCTGTACCTTTTTTTTTTTTTTTACCGCGATTGTATGGTTCCCGTTTTAAGTCTTAACCATTTTCAAGGCCTGTTTACTTATTTGAACTGTTTGTTGTTTGGACAACATAATGCATATTGCTGTTGTGACATGCCTGGTCAGAAAAGTTTTATAAATATAATTGTAGGAGCTGTATAATAAGTAAACTCACTGAACATGTTGTAAATGATGTGCATAGGTATAGTTCTTCATAATCTGACAGAGTAAGCAGAGGTGAGAGGGTGAGCGCCACCAAGGGGCTCTGTATTCACATCCTTGGTTTTCTTTTCGATTGTGTGGTGTTTACTTCCTGTTATGACAATATTGTGTCTTGGTTAGTAGTCGGTTAAGTGTGCTTGCTCATTCCCCACAATCACGGGAAATCCAGAATTGTAAAATGATGAAGGCCTTTTACTGCCATCGCATTGATTGTATCGAATATTAGCGGGTTTTTACCCAAATCCAGACAAACCATCTGAGAGTGGTACATCGTCAAACAACAAGTGCAATAGTGTAGAAAAATATCCATGTAACCATGTATAGATTTTTATCACCTGCTAGTCCTAGCTTATTTATCTTAATCAAATGGGAGCTTTACAAAAAGAGAAAAATAGATATTCACTAAGAGTGTGGCTACTGAAGCAAAGTTCACTTTATTGATGGGTGAGTGAATAATGGAAACGTACCCCAGTTCCATCCCACGTCTCCGCTCCATGCAGCCCCAGATCCTGGGAGGGCACCAAAGCACTTTGATTAGACGGCCATTTCTGCTATTTCACATTGATACAGCAGTGCCCCCTGGTGCTAGCAAAACAGTGTGTGCTGATAATGGCTGACTACTGTGGGGATGCGTTCGGTCAGGGATTACTGATTGTGTTGCGATAGTGTTCGCATGTAAATTAAGATCTTGTGTCCTTTAGAGTAGATGCTGAGGGGTTTTCTTAGAAGTTCATAGGTTGTAGGGAAAAGGGAGTCATGCATTCATGTGTGTTGACCGCAGGAGGGAGGGCTACACTCAGGAATGGTGTCCATATGTCCTAGAAGAATAAATCATCTGACATGGAGGGCTAGACTTGCCGCTCTAGGTAGCCAGACTGTTATTAGCCTGAATGCTGTTTTTTTTTAAAAGTGGAAAATCCTGCATGATGATTTTTCACCTTTAAAAAAATAAGTCAGGAATGTTTTGGACCTGAATGACAAAGAATGACACACAATTCTTAATTTTTCTTATTATTATTTTCTTTAGCCTGTGCTTTAGCGGGTTCTCGATAATGAATAAATACAGAAACTATTGCTGGCCTTAAAGGTCAACAGCAGGGACACTAAGAATGATGATGAGAGGAACAGAAGGAGGTTTGGAGCAGAGTGGAGTCTGAAGTACAAGCTTCCAGTCGCTGAATGGTCCTCACGTTTGTCTTGCTTTGCATTTGCTTAGTTGTCAGCATCAGCTCTGCGTCCTCTTAGATGCCCAGCGGCCTCTTCATCAGCGCCTCCAATCAGCTGATGAATGATAGGATTGATGAGGGATATTCAGGGGTGATGAATGTGAGGGAGAGCTAACCTCACCCCCCTTTTTTAAAATTAAAATTACAGCTCAAGTGCAGAGCGGTGGTTCTCAGCCTGCGAGTTGCTTTGTGATTTTTGTGGGCATTTAAAGTTCGGGAGGGGTATTTATATTTTTTTAAAACATAATGATACTTCTTTAAATATTTTCATGAATATATTTTTATTGAATTAGTATCTGTCTTATGTAGTCGTCTATAAATGTATTAAGAACCTGAAAAGGGAAAACTTAAACTTGGAACTCAAACAGATTGAGAACCGCTGCTCAGACGAGGCTCTCTCTTCTTCGTTGCTCTCATCCTCTTCTGTGTAAATTCACTCTCTGTTCTGTATTGTTGCTTTTCTTTTCTCACTCTCTTCCCCAGAGTTTGTGCCTTTCTTCTGTTCTCTCAGTTTTTTGTTTTTCCTTTGAGGTGCTGAGGCCAACACAACTGTATTCTTGTACATAAACTCCTGCACTTTAAACGCAATACAGTTGTTAAAAAAATTAATCTCTGATGGCTTGTCTTTTCTTTCCGAGTCAGTCTCCAGTTTCTAATGAAAGGCTCTCTGGCATTTTTTTTTTTCTTCAAACATTTGCATTTTTGCTTCTTCTGTTCTTCCTATATCTTTTCTGCCTCTGCGTTGCTCTGTTTCATATTTCGGGCCACGCTGACACTGACAGGTATGGCTGACTTTTTCTGTTTCATTCTTGTCCTGATGATGCTGTCACTGTGCATGAGCCCTCCACTCTGTTGATGTTTTATCCTTCTGTAGACATGCATGATGACGCATTAATGATTTTCTGTTTTTTAACATAGTTTAGTCTTAATGACTTGAGTAATATTTATATTATTTTATTTAATTGAACTTCTTTGCTGCAGGTTGATGTAGTGAGGAGGGAGACGGCCTAAGTGGTGAAAAGGGGGGAAGTGTAATGAGTCTCTTCTTAGGGATGCTTCTAGGGATTGTTATTCCAGCATTTTACCTTTAATTAGCCACAAAGTGCATTAAAATCACAAATTCAAACGCACGGAAAGTTCTCTGACAAAAGTCTAAAATGTTAGTATCGTACCCGTGTTTGTTATTAAACAGCTTGTCTCCTTGTATAATGCTCTTGTGCCACAGAGAGAGATAAACTTTGAAGTAAAGACAGTTACTGTTGTCAGAAAGGGTTAAACCACACCGCCCTGTTCTATATCTCAGTGGTTCCCAACCTTTTTTGTGTCTCCTTTTTAAAAATGAATTAATATCTATTTGTCATGACATAATTTGTGAGTCCTTTTCCCTCTCACTGTTTAATAAGGTCTTTTACAGGCCTGAAAAGTTGAGTGTTCAGTGACCCACAAGAAAAAGGCAAACATTTTAAGAAAATTCAGAAGAAAAAAACTTGTTATATGTAATAAATGTTGGGAACCATTGCTCTGTCTGCCTTCTCTTGTGTGGTTTGCCTTTGTTGTTGATGATGGTCTTGTGTCCTTGTTTCTTTTCCAGGAGATGAAACCTACCAGGACATCTTCCAGGATTTCACCCACATGGCCTCCAACGACCCGGACAAGCTGAACCGCTACCAGCAGTACGATCACCAAAAACCCTGACACGAGCAACACCGTCCACTAGCACTTAAAGACACTGTGTAGTCAACCCTGGAGAGAAAAAACGACGTCTGGAAAGACGCTGTCCACTTTCCCTTCAACACCATTAAAGCCAGTTAGTACCGCCACAGCTGGACTCACGTCACTATATCCAACGTGGCTGAAGCTCCCTTTCATTAAATTGTATTAATTTGACTTGCAGCTGCGATCACAGCCCTTGTTGAAAACTACAGGCATTTCACTCAAGTGAAGGGGGTACTTCTCTCAACCGCAAACCTCACTCTTTTTTTTCAAAGAAAGTGGGATATATAACAATAAATGAATGGTACAGTGTTTAAAGGATTTTAAAAAATCATTAAAAAAAATCTAATGATAATGGAACTCGGTCTGAATGTAGAGCTGCCATCAAGGCCGTTAGTTATTTTGATTCAATTTTTTGTCACACTTCCTGACAGAAGAAATTCAAAGACAATTTCTTTTTTCTTTTTTTATATATTAAAAAAGAAGTGTGCTGCATCAGAGCTGTGAAGCGATAAGTGCATGATAGGTTGTTAAGTGCTTCCTCTTTTCAATAGGATTCTCGCTATAAGCATAGGCAAATGCTACAGGATCTTTTTTACCTTTTTTTTGTATCAAAGTTTTGCTTTTAATGAACTCAGCAGCGTATACACGACAATATGCTTTTACTTATTTGCACAAATCTCTTTGTCTTAAATCGCCACTGATGTTTACCAGTTTTGATGGTAAGTCTTTGACATGTTAAACAATGCACAGTGATTGTGGAAGTTAACATGTTAATTGATGCATTTGTAATGTTAAATATATCATAGTATTTTGTTTTTTTAAATCTTAGTTATATTTGAACATGTTCCTGTGAATGATTTTTCCATATTGTCACCACATCAGTACCTGCAGTACGAGTCTGCGTCATGATTTTGTGGAATTAAAATGGCTTCAGTCCTGTTGAAGTTATTGTTAATTTGTAGATTGAGTCTCTTGCTGAGATGAGGTAAAAAAGTTAAGATGTAGAGTTAAAGAGCTCTACAATATTATGGACCTACTAGAGTATATGTGGTCATTTCATTCCTGTTGATTCTAGAAATGCCAGTAACACTGTATTTTTAGAGGTTTGTAATTTCCTAATAATTTCATAGGAAGTTGGTAATTTGGTATTAATTATAGAGAATGTAGGATTTTCCCTGAAAGAACAGCTCCATTAAACCAAAGTTAGTGTTCAGTTAATATTGGAAACTTAGTTAAAATCCTGAAACATTAAAATCTTATCTGCTGACAAACGCCCTTTCAGCACTAACATCATCAAAAACTTAACTACAAACAGTAAAGCTGGATTGTATGCATCATTTCCTGTGAATCCCTTGTGTGTCTGGAAGGTCATTTAAATCCTGTTTCCCAATAATTAGTAGCAAATGACATAGAACTTTAAAGGAAATTATTAGGAAATGATGGGCCTGGACAGCATTACAGAAATACTGTGCATACAGTCTGCAAAATGTCCAGGAGACATTACACTTCATTTCATGTGTTGAATTAAGTATTAAAGATTAATTTAGACATCATCAGGTGACTTCACTGAAATGTTCAAGTCCAGAAATGATTTAATCAGATTTCATGATAGATTTTAAATATACTGTTCTGTGATTTTTATCTTTTTTTTTAAAAACTGTAAAATCTTTACTTCTATATGATACCTAGTAAGATATTATATGAAGCGCAGAAGAAACCTTTGGCCAAGGCAACATGGGATACAATTCTTGTACATTTTGTACAGATGCTTTTGAATTCTCCAGAGAAGTATAAAGTTAGTGGTACTTGAATCATTAAATAAGCTTTTGTATATGCTTTGTATCCTTTGGTAATTTTAGCCCGTTTTATATTGCCTGTCTGTACACCAGTATACATGTACTGTATATTCTACCTGTAATGTGTAAGATCTTCAATACATATGGACTGAGGATTCATCAATGAATGTTGATTCTTTTTTGATTTGCTTTGTCTCGAGGATTAATTTCAACCACTTTGGCTAAAGTCATTACAGGAATGTGTTTGTCAGCACAGAGTTAATGTGACTCAGACATTGGGTTTTGTTCACAGTACGATATGGAACTAGACTCACATCAATCTCAACTCACAAGCTGCTCGTCTGAAGACAGAGAAAATAGTTTTACTGCTCTCCTGAGCTCAATTGTTATGAAGTACTGTCATTCATTTGTTTTCAAATATTCATTAAAACCCTGACGTGCATTCACACCAAGACCCCGTCGAAAATCACATGGCATTGAGAAAGATATCCAAGGGAAGGAATTAAGAAAATTACATTAATGCTCAATTGCACAAAATAACAAATGGGCCTGAAGAGTCCCACGTCCTTTTAAAGGCAGAGCATTTTCTCTTAATCACAAAGGAGTTTTGAAAAGAACGAAGCAAAGCAGTAATTCATGAGCCAGCCGTTGTCCTCTTATGTTTAGCTTTTTATAAACAAGGTAATTTTCCAACTATATTGAAAAGAGTCATCATACTGAATGAGGGCGTCAGTCAAAGACTGAACTTTAATGTGAGACCCAAACGACAAGAATGTGGATCTTTAATGATATTCAAACACTGGTTTTAAGTTGCATTTATTTGTCGTACAAATGTGTCTGTTTCTCAGAACAAACAGTAATAAAGCAAGAAATAGATTTGCAGACGAACACCTTGTTAAAATTGCATACACAGTTGCAACACACACTTGTACGTGGTTTAAAATAGAAATCCTAGTTGTCACTGCATATTTGGGGTCACAATTAATAGCGTCGTCTGCTGAGAAATTAAACATCGTATGAGTTTCATTTGTTGTGAGGATGATTTTATTTTGTTGTCGCAACTTCATCAATATTTTTCAGCCCCTCCGTTGTTACATCTCAGGCTTTTTACTGGGTTGTTTAGTTCAGCAGAAAACAGCAGTGTGGTGTGTCTCTCCAGCAGGGGGAGGGCTGCTTTTAGTCTTTCATATTTGGAGGAAACATTCTTGACCTTTACAGCCTGAAGATGCAGCTGGGATCCTGAGAGGCAACTGTATCTAAGTCCTGAGTATCCAAAGGGTTTGTTGTTTATTCACTTTATTTGTTTTCACATAAGAAGTTTAAACCTTTACACCTAAATCCTACTATGATTTTCTATCTATAAAGATTTGTTTATAGGAGTTTATAATTTTTAATCACTCCACTCCTCCTAATGTTAAACTCAGCTGAGACTTTGTGTTTGACCCTAAACTGAGGTCTAAACTATTCTTTTTTAAAACATAAAGAGGCTTCATTCATGCTGTCGTCCTTGTACACTGGTAAAGTCACTGGTGAGTTTGTCCCTGTGCAAATCTTGATACACATCTGTGGATATATTACCCAGTCCCATTCCATCTTTAATAATTAAAGTGTGTTTATTTCTGCTGCTGTTTAAATGAGAGGCATGCGGGCCAGTAGTGCCCACCTCTTCAAATGACTTATAGCTGTGTGTGTGTGTGCGCAGCGGGCCAACGTGTGTGTTTAGTCTGCCTCAAAGTAATGTTCCTGAAAACACATCGCTTTTTCAACAATGATAGCACCATCATAATTCACCTCAGTGCTGCTGTTAAACATACAGAAAAACTCCTGCAACTGCAACTACACTTTCCCTTTGTTCCCACGGTGGCCATTTTGATACTTTCAGAAAGAAGAAATCTAAGCACTTTAAAAAAAAAAAAAACATAATTTCACACATTTCCATCTGGAAATAATATCTTGACCGATACTGGATTTATGAGGCTGATATTGATATCTAGTTTTATTTTTAAAAAGGCTCAATAATTACCTAAAACAGCTGCACACTATAGTTTTTAGCATATGTGCAGACACATACATGCCAATTCTAAGTGAAAGAAATACAAATAAATACAGAAAAATAAAAAGCTAAATTCCTTTTAGCACGATAGAAAATAATTTTTTAACAAAACTAATTACTCCTCCCTTCTAATGACAATTTTTGCATCATGCATTTTTGCCGCAGAGCCTCCACAAGGTACTTTTAGCATCTATATATGCCAGTCTATATATTATCTGAGTTTTAAGGTCATCAGATGCTGATGATGTCCCCGCCACTGTGAATCTGCCCTCGGGCCTTTTCCAGGAAGTCTGCGGTCTGCTCGCCTGTGGAGAAATGAAGGGCCGCCACTGGAGACGTTTCCCTTCATAAAAACACCATGTGAACAAACGCACGAGTGGGCCAAGCCCCATTAATGCCATTCAGACTGCCAGGGACCAAACTACAGAGCACATTTGTGTTAACAAGTCACAGAGTCCAGCGGTGACTGAAGTCTTATTTTCTTCAAATAAATAAAAATGCCAGTCGAGTGAGATCATTTTACTTACTTCCAATGCAAAAACCCAAAGTCTTAAGTTTTCTTAGATTAAGCAACGGCTTTTAATTAGCTTCACTTCAACATACTGACACGACAGTTTAAGGAAAATGCTTCTAGTTAACACTGCAATGTGTGCAGTGCAAGTTAAATCACTAGTTTCTTGACTAACTTGCAGACTTGAAGATATTTATCCAGTGTACCTGTGCAGACCTGATGGGAGAGGCTAATTCATTCTGCCTCAACACTGCTGTTTCACAAAGAAACTCAAATAAGGAATAGTGATGAATAGCAAATCGTATACTGAGGAAGATGAACAGTAAAATAATATGTCCAAGTTTGACTCTGACAGGACCATCTTTTTGCAACAGGTGCAGACAAAACCAGCTGTCGTTTCACATAAACAGAGGTGTGTGTGTGAGAGAATGATCTTCCTGCTGGACTCCACAGGTCAGTCTTGAATTGTAGCATTGTAGTCGTTCATTTGTGGTATCCAAAGCAAAGGAAATGCGTTCCGCTATTGAATGTGAATTAGTAACACCAACTCTAAAAATCAGCTTCCTCTGTTTTAGTTGGTCATTTAGTCTGTCCCGCAGTGCTTTATTAATACACGTCTACATTTAGAAAAGAAATCTTAATTTTCTCCCCCATCCAGGCCCTTCACAGAATGTTTGGAGATGCAGAAATAAATTAGATATTTTTGGTTACAACTTTCTTATTCCATATCCAATAATTTAAAATGTAATGGAGTAGACATATAAAGTAGTATTTATGTACAATATTTGAGTAAATGTGCATAGTTACTTTCCACCACTGTCCACAGTTGGGCAGGAATCAACACATCAGCCTGAAACAGTAGAGTAACATTCAATCAGTTCAAGCTCCATCGCTGCCTCTAAGAAAAAGTCAAACTCCAGTCTATAAAAGAAATGCCTTCTTCTTGGCAGAAATACTGTTCTGTTTAAGCGTTTATGCTACACAGCACAGTCTTGGCCTCCACATCCTCAGCCATGAGTGCTAATATTTACTCCGCCCATCTTCACACTGAATAGAAAGGTTCAGGTTTCATATGTTGGAGCAGCCTTGTGCTGCAAATCCAAACAGTTCTGCCTGTATTCTCTAAATGCTGATGATGAATGGACAGCCGGTATGAATAGGCGCAGTGTTATAAGCACACTCTCATACCACAATATCCTCCACCACACTCACTCTGACAAGAGGGGGAAAAAGGTGTTAGACAACGTGCAGTACCATGTTGTACCATGCACCACCTTCACCAGGCCGCAGATCTTACGCTTCGTTCTCCAGAACTAATGCTTGTTTGTCTCCAGCCTAAATTCCCAGAATGGGCAGGACCAGATTTTTTTTTCCTGAGTGAAGCTTTCCAGAGAGCCTCGCTTCGTGCTGCGATGAGCTGTCAGCCTTTCCAACAGGTTTCCCCAGGGGAGGTCTGGTGTCCAGCTGTTCTGACACCCAGAGGACCTGAAACCTCCTCTCAGCCAGCTGCAGAGAACTGAGTGAGCTAGAGCAGGTGAGGGTTAGACCAGACTGAGTCTTCTTCTTTTAAAGATCCTTTCCAGACATGTTTTAAGACATGTGGAAAATAATCTGCTCCGAATAAACAATTCTGTCCGATATGGGTTTTCCACATATGCAAATATGACACAAGATGTCTCCTAGTTCACTGAAATGTGGCGTTTATGCACTGGAGGCAACAAAGTTTCCATGTCATAGGTTTCCATAGCAGAGATTTAAGATTGAGTCGCTGATCTCAACAACCCAGCTATATTCTAATTTTGGACAGGTTTGTGCTTCTTCTTAATAAGTATTCAACTTAGTGATGAAACGCGCTCTGTAGAGTAGTTTGTCCGTTTAGGCTACTGTAAAACAAGTGCACAACATGGTGACTTCCATTTATGATGACCCGCGGAGTATTTAGACATAAATATCTCATTCTAAGGTAATAAAAACATAACGGTTCATTATGTAAGGTCTTTTTCTGTCAATAGATCCTCATAAATATTACATACTTCACCTTTAAAACATACAGTGTGGAAAGAATTTACAGATGGACTAAAACATTGTTTTGGTGATTTTTATGAGATTTGTTTACAAGAAGAACTAACTTCGAATATTTGGGCAGTAGGAGCCTAATAGTCAAAGGGGCTTATAAGTGGACAGCTGCAACCAACTATTGTCACATGTGAGAGAACAGTAAATTACCAACCCTCTCTTCCCTAAACATTTACTGTTGTAGCACGCATCCTTGACCAAGAAACTTAAGTCCCAAAAGCTCCAGTGGACCTGCTCAGTGGTCAACAACAAGACTGGTTGTACTCAGGGCAACAACTAATGATTAATCACTTAGTGGCCCATTGCAATGTACAAAAAAAACATGAACTCTGATTGACAGTTTGTATGATGGATATGTCAGCTTCTCTTCACAGTATTTGCTGTTCCTGGAGGGAGTTTCATTTTCAACTTTGTGTCTCAGGATAGTTCCTTGAACCATAAGCCCATGTCGCCAACAGACAACAGCCACTTGTCCTGCCCAGCTGCTGCTGACGGATGCTAGCGACAACAAAGAGCATTATGT